TGAGAATTACAGTTACATAGGAAGCATTTTGGGAATTGCAAGGCATTGCAAAAATAAAAAAGTGGCTGTAGCCCTGGCTGGTATGGCTCAGCGGTAAGAGTGTTGCCCATGGACCAAAGAGTCTGGGTTCAATTGCGGCCAAGGGCACGTACTTCGGTTGTGGTTTGTCCCCACCCTGGCTAGGGTTGTGTGGGTGGCAGCCAATCAATGTGTCTCTCTCACATCAATGTTTCTCTCTCTCTCTCTACCTCTATCTCTCCCTCTAGCTCTGACTGAAGATTAATGTAAAAATATCCTTGAGTGAGAATTAAAAACAAACAAAATAAAAGTGGCTGTATTCTTTCACCATTCCTCCATTTTTCTACCTACATCAGGACTGTTGTGCAAGTGTTGACCATTTTCTTTTCAGCCTTTTTCACTATATGCCTAGACCCCTTTACTTTCTTTCTAACCCAACTCTACCTCCTTCTATATTTCACCCTCCAGTCCATCATTGGTTACCTGAGTGATCTTATTAAAGCACAGCCAGGGCCATGTCACTCCTTGACTTGAAAGCCATCATTGGATCCCCATTGCCTATAGATAATCTAATCAATGTCCAGAATCTGGCCCCAACTTTTTTTTTTTTTTTATCCCCACCCGAGGACATTTTTCCATTTTTTGCACAGACAGAGTGGGAGGGAGAGTGAGGAAGAGACAGAGAGGGAAACATCGATGTGAAAGGGACACATCGAGTGGCTGCCACCCGCACGACCAACCAGGGCCGGGGACAAACTGCAACGGAGGTACATGCCCTTAGCGGGAACCGAACCCGGGTCTCTCCGGACCGCAGGTGGACGCTCTAACTGCTGAGCCAAACCGGCCAGGGCTTTTTTTTTTTTTTTTTTTTTTTTTTATCCTCACCCGAGGACATTTTTCCATTCTTTGCTCAGATAGAGTGGGAGGGAGAGAGAGAGGAACGGAGAGAGAGAGAGAAACATAGATGTGAAAGGAACACATCCAGTGGCCGCCACCCGCACGACCGACCAGGGCCGGGGACAAACTGCAACCAAGGTACGCGCCCCTAGCGGGAACCGAACCCGGGTCTCTCAGGATTGCAGGCCGATGCTCTAACCACTGAGCCAAACTGGCCAGGGCCAGAATCTGGCCCCAACTTCATCTTCTGCTTCTTCCTTATCTGAATCTTGTTCACTCAAGTGGGGGACTCCTATGTGAGTTGTATAAAGGGCTTGTAGTCCTTTACTAGGTAAGCAAGGGAGTGGGGTAGTTATTCGTCTGCTCTATTAACCAAACTGGAATTAAGGCAAAATACTTTAAATGCAGCTTGTCTGTGATAGAGCTCTTCTGAGGCTGAAGCATGAATTGTATCATAGCTCTTATTGCCACTTGGCCTGTTAGCTTCTTTTTACAAAAAACACTAAGCACCTATCTTTGCCAGATTGTGTGGTCTGTGTTGAGGATCTGGTGATGAGCAAGGCACAGTGCTTGCCTTCACTTTATGATGAGAGAGGCATAGTGACAGTTGCTCTTGTAATTATAAGAGGATATTCCAGGACAGGAGTGAACTCTGAGGAGGAACCCTTACCCTGTGTTTGGGGGATGTGAGTCAGAGAAGGCTTTCTGGGGTAGGTGACAGCTATATTGAAATTCTGAAAGGCTAGTGGAAATCAGCCTGATGGAAGAATAGGGAATGTGACACCTAGGCAGGGGCAACTTAAAAAAATTTCTTTTTCTTTATTGATTTTAGACAGAGAGGAAGGGAGAGGGAGAGAGAGAGAGAGATGGAAACATTGATGAGAGAGAACATTGATTGGCTGCCCCCTGCATGCCCCCCACTTGGGATTGGACCCATAACCTGGGCATGTGCCCTGACCAAGAATTGAACTGGCAACCACTTGGTGCATGGGCCGATGCTCAACCACTGAGCCACACAGGCTGGGCAGGGGCAACATGTTTAGAAACACTAAACAGCGTGAACAGGCCAGTTTGGAGAACTAGAAATACTTCAGAATAGTTTGGCATGTGGTAATTAAGAGGGCAGGAGACAAGCAATGAAATATTGGCCTTTGTGGAAGGCAGACCAGACCTTGTTTGTTGTATTAAAGAGCTTGGACTTAATTCTAAAGGCAGTAGGAAAGGCTTGGGCAATGGGACTATCATGTTGTGATTTGTGTTTGGAAAGACCCCTCCAGCTGCTGGAAGGAACATGGATTGGACATAATGAGCCTGGAAGCAGAAAGATGAGTTTGAAGAATGTTGCCATGGTTCAAATGATAGATGGTAGCAGTGGCAGAACTGAGAAACACTTCTAGTTCTTTCCATTTCAACACCTTACATGCTGCCTTGATCTTTAAAGAGCTAGTAGATATTTGTTGATACAACAATAGACTTAGAGTATGTTGAAAGTGTAAAAGCCTTATGATGAGAGCAGTTAACATTTATTAAGCCTTTACTGTATGCTGAGAACTATTGTGCATCATGGAATTTACTCTTTACAGCATCCTCCCTGACATAGATTCAATTGGAGCCTCATATTCCAGAGGGAAAAGCTGAGCCTCAATGTCTGGGGGTGAATTCCAGTGCAGGTCTGCCTGGTTCCAGAGTTCAGAATCTTAACAATGATGTGCTATTTCGCCTCTTTCTCTTACAAATATAATGGATCATTTTAGTTTTTTTCTCATTGACACATGTTTTGAGTGGAAAATAGGATAATTCACTAAATATCTAATACTAACTCTAAATTTGTATTTTAAAGAAATCACTTTTTAAGCAAGATCACAATCTCTGGGAAAGTTGACATGGAAAGCACTGGTCAAGTTTTTCCATTCATTGCTTTCCCTGAATAGTGTTATGTTCAATCTGAAAGCATTCTAATTAATGGGATGTTGTATCCCCATAACTGAATGAAGTTAAAGTTACTGAGAAAGAGATTGGGAGTAATCAAAATGTGATAGAGGAGACCAGCCCTTAAAGGAATGGTATAAGAGAATGAGAATGTGCAACTACAATGGTGATTTGGCTGTGACCTCAAGGCTGGGTAACAGTAACTGGGAAAGGTTGGGAGCTGCCTAGCTTCTCTGGGAGGAGCCTTTTTGGAAGCAGGGCCTGTCAGGCATTGCTTCCAGTGTGCCAGAGGGAGTTCCCAGACCAACCACCCTATAAGAGGGTGTCCCTTCAGCCACCACAGAAGTGAGTGTTCAGTAACACCTTATGAGGCAGCTGCTAAGGGCCAGGTACTTGGCTCAGTGCTAGAAACCTGGCAGTGAACTAAGCGGACCCCCCTATCCTTGAGCTTGTAGTCCTGGTGGTCTAGAGGAGGAGGTGGAGGTTGAACAAGAGACCACGTGAATAAGTATGGACACATGGAGTGTAACAGCTATGGAAAATATAAGGTGTTGTGAGAACATGTGACCAGGGACCTGAAGATAAATTGTCCAATAGGGAAGCATATACAGAGAGGGGGCATTCAAAGTCAAGAGGACCTTAGGGAGAGTGTTCCAGACAGAGAGAATTGTAAGTGCGTGGGCCCCAGGGCAGCAGAACACTTGGTTGGGAGACTAAAAGAAGACCAGGGTGGCCAGAGCAGAGAGTGAGGGGGAGAGGGGCTCAAGGTGAGACTGGAGAGGTGGGCAGGGACAGGTCACGCAGGGCTTTATGGGTCATTAGAAGGGTTTGGGATTTATCCTAAACTCAGTGGGAAGCCATTGAAGGGTATAAATAAGAAAGTGACATTATTAGAATTGCATTTTTAAGATGGCATGCTGGCTATTGTGAAGACAGTGGATAGGAGGGGGCAAGAGGAGATTTGGGGAAACCCATTAGGAGGCTGGCTTGATGAGCAATAGAGTAGAGCAAAACAGATGGAAGTTATATATATGTATATATATATATACACACACACACACACACACTACACACACGCGCGCACACATGCACACACACATATATATATATATTTTTTAATCCTCATCTGAGGATATTTTTTCATTGATTTTTTATTTTTTTTTAGACAGAGTAGGTGGGAGGGAGGATAGAGAGAGAAAGAGAGAAATATTGATGTTAGAGAGATGCATTGATTGGTTGCCTCCCACACAACCCTGACCGAGGAGGGGGATTGAACCTGCAACTGAGGTACGTGTCTTTGGGAATTAAACCTGAAACTCTTTGGTCCGGGGGCTGATGCTGTAACCGCTGAACCAAACCGGCCAGGGCTGGAAGTTATATTTTGAAGGTTATTTCAACAGGAGTTAATGATGGATTGAATGTAGGGAATGTGGGGAGTTGGTTCCAGGACCCCCATGGATACCAAAATCCTTGTCCCTATATAAAATGGTGTAGTATTTTTTTTTTTTTTCAGTACATGCCCCTAGCAAGAACCGAACCCAGGACTCTCTTGTCCGCAGGTCAACGTTCCAACCGCTGAACCAAACTGACCAGGGCTGTAGTATTTTTATATAGCCTATATTTGCATATAGACTACAGCAGGGCATGCCTACACATCACTTCATTCATATGGATTCAGTGCAGTGCTCAGCATGTGGCGAATTCAAGTTTTATGTTGTGGAACTTTTGGGGATGTTTCTTTCTGTGCATTTTCTTTCTTTTTTTTAATCCTCACCTGAGGATATTTTTCCATTTATTTCAGATAGAGTGGATGGGAGGAAGGCAGAGAGAGAGAGGGAGAGAGAGAGAGAGAGAGAAACATCGACGTGAGAGAGACGCATTGATTGGTTGCCTCCTGCATGACCCTGACCAGGGCCAGGGATCGAACCCACAACCAAGGCGTGTGCCTTTGACCGGAATTGAATCCAAGATTCCTTGGTCCACCGGCCAACGCTCTGTAACTACTGAGAAAAACTTTCCAGGGCAACGTGTTATTTTTATGATCAGAGAAAGGGAAAACAAGGTACTGTGTTGAATGGAAGAAGGAAAGGCAGTCCTGGATAATGGAAGAGATTTTCTCCATTAGAATTTCTGACCCTTGTTTTCCCTTTCTTCAGGCTGGAGCAGAGGAGGAATGATTGTGAACAGCCTCTCACTGTGCTACCACAACAAACTCATCTTAGCCCCTATGGTTCGGGTAGGGACTCTCCCAATGCGGCTGCTGGCCCTAGACTATGGAGCGGACATTGTGTACTGTGAGGTAAGGGGCTACTGATTTTCCCTGAGAGCTTTTCTGTAAGCGCAGTGTCCTCATCTGTGGATGGAAATAATCAGGAGAGGGGAGGGGGGTTGATAGAATGGGCACTGACTTCACAGGTTCTCACTGATGGCAACAGAGAACAAATATGCGTGACATTTATAAGTTCTATGACCTCTGCTGAGGGCCAGCAGCCTGAGCAGCGTGGAGGCATTGCAAGATTACCTGTGCCAGGTGATAGATGAGCATGGTGTCAGGTCACTGCCCTGGCCCCTATAGGATTTAATATACATTCAGTACATGAATGAGTGAACTCCAGGTTAGGAAGAGGAGGAAGAGGCCCAGATTCAGGCCAGGGAAGCTGGATGAGATTGATTTGGGGGAGGGCCATAGGATTTTCTGGTGGTGGTAGCTAGTGGGCCAGCTAATCTTGCTGAGTGCTCAGAAGATTAGGGCTCCCGACCCAGGTTTAGAAAGCAACTGCTAGGAAAAATAGAATTACAGGATACTGGATAATGAGGGAGTATGAGCAGTGGTTCTCAATTGGGCATGTATCAGAAATATCTAGGCAGCCTCTCTCCAACCCCCAATCCTGATATGCCCCCCTCGTGGATATGAGAAGTTTAAGAAGAAGCTACCCAAATGATTCTGATATTTCTATCTTTAAAAGACACTAGGGGTAGGATGGAGTGGGGTTGAGACAGGCCAGTTAGCCAGGACAAGTGGAATAGGGAAACAAATAGCTGAACAAACTGACAGAGCAATTTACAGTGGATACAGAAGGTCACCTCCCTAGAAATAGCACCTAAGCCTCAGTTGTATTTCAGCTCCAGACACAGAAAAGCAGCATAACCAGGTAGACAATACCAGAACCAGCTGCAATGACTAACAACCCCCTGCCCTGACACTGACAGGTCAGTGAGGACCATGACCCTGAAGGAGCACACCTAGAAAACTGATGAAAATTCTCTTGAAACCCTCCCCTGAGACCACCCCTAAGATTCCCGCCTGCAAGAGAGAAATAAAAACCTCAAGACAAAGGACCCAGCACTAGCCATCCTTCTTAGGAGCATACCTGTACCCTCTCTTTTCTTACCCCCACAGGCATGCATCTCCTAGATTCTAAGGGACCCCATTAGGCTTGCAACTAGGCTAGCAATAGGCAGTGGCAGTTCATCCCAGGCAAACCCCCTGAATCTGTTCCCAAGGCCCTCTTTTCTCTGACTTCTTAGGGAGTCAGAACAGACCAGCCTAGGCTGATTTCTCCAGCCCTTTCTTGTTTCAGTGTCCCCAGCTTTAATAAACGTCCTCGAAAATTCACCTGGACTAGTGTTGTGAAACTTTTCTTGTACAAAGTCAAGAACCCACACACTACCAGCCTGGTGCTAGGCAGACCCACTCAGGGCCAGGTCTTTCCAGTAACAGAGTAGAGACTGTGGCTATCACACAAGGAATCCTTCTGGTGATGAAACTATTCTGTCTTATCTATGTCAATGTCAGTATTCTGTGTGTTATTGTACTGTAGTTTTATGAGATGTTACCCCTTGGCTTTCACTTTTCTGGCGCAGGCAGCATTTTTCTGGGACTCTAGAAAGTGGAGTTGTATTCACTTGGAGATAAGTGGAATTAAACACCAGGATGGAAGTGAGTGATTACACTGTAGCACAGGGCCTGTTCTAGACAGCCGCTGTGTTTATGGTCCAGGAGAAATTGGTCTTTGTGATGGGGGTCATGGAAGCTGGGCACTGGGAGCAGTGCTGCCACAGGAAACAAGTGACCTACTGGGTCCCAGAACCTCCATCAGCTACTTCTTTGGAATGTTTTAAGGTTGTTTTCAAATACTTTGGAAGTCATAGGCACAGAATTTATGTTATGGCTTCAGAATGTGGCCTTCCTTTCCTCCAGGGCCCTCCTAATGGTCAAAGCTTGGTTTTTCTAATGAGTATGACCATTCCTTTCCTCCAGGGCTCTACTTGAGTAAGAAGAGGTAACACATTAAAACTCTTAGGCATATTTGATGTGCTTATACTCTGGAAGAGTTAATATGGCTTATGAATAAAGGGCTTCTGCTGGAGGAGATCCAAGCCCTCCACCCAGACCTAGCCCATGTGCAGAGAAGAAGCAGGAGACAGGCCCCTGTTTTGTGTGGGTCATTGACTGGGCTCTAAGTACTGGGCATGACACAGTGTGATGCCTGGTGCCCCTTGGTGAATTCAGAGTTGCTCTGCAGGCCAGCATTATTGTGTTGGCTGCCTGGGTGATCTTAACTTGATTCACATGAGGTGTCCTGTCTGTGAGATTAGATAGCCAAACCACCCCACCCACCTCAGAGGACTAGGTATAGGACTTAGGGTACTCCAGGCATGCAGGCACCTCCTTAAAAGCCTTGTAAAGCCCTCAGCAGCTGGAGGTGAAGAAAGAATGAACCAGCTCAGCAACAGTCAAGGGAACAGTAAGTCTGATCCCCCATCAATGTCTGCCCTGTTGACATGAGTTTTCTTTTCTTTTTTTTAATATGTTTTTATTGATTTTTTAGAGAGACAGGGAGGGAGAGAGATAGGAACATCGATGAGAGAGAAACATCGATCAACTGCCTCCTGCATGCCCCCTAATGAGGACTGAGCCTGAAACCTGGACATGTACCCTGACCAGAAATCAAACCGGGACACCTCAGTCCATAGGACACCACTCAATCCACTGAGCCACACCGGCCAAGCTAGGAAAGTTTCCAGTTCCTCAGATGTTGTGTTTCTTTTGTTTTATTTTTAATTTTTTTTATCTTTGCCTGAGGACAGTGTTCCATTTTTTGTTTTAGATAGAGCGGGAGGGAGAGAGAGGAAGAAAGAGAGAGAGAGAGAAACATCGATGTGAAAGGGACACATCGAATGGTTGCCACCAGCACGACCCAACCAGGGCCGGGAACAAACTGCAACCGAGGTATGTGCCCTTAGCAGGAACCGAACCCGGGTCTCTCTTGACCTGCTCTAACTGCTGAGCCAAACCGGCCAGGGCAATGACTTTTTTTTTTTGGTATGTGCCCCTAGTGGGAACCAAACCTGGGACTCTCCGGTCTGCAGACCAATGCTTCAGCTGCTGAGCCAAACCGGCCAGGGCTTCTCTTCCTTTTTATAAGAACAGTGGGACTTCAGTGACTCAGACTGTGAGGCTGCACTTACCTGTTGGACTTATACCTTTTAATAAGTAAGATCAAGGGAGAAGGCAATGTTCTTATGAGGCCCAGATTACCAGCATAGGTACTTAAAATTTTTTTCTTTTATTGTCATAAAAAACATGTAATGTAAAATGTATCATATTAACTATTTTTTTCTTTATTGATTTTATTTTATGTTTATTTTATTTTATTTTATTTTTATCCTCACCTGAGGACATTTTTCCATTTTTTTTGGTCAGGTAGAGTGGGAGGGAGAGAGAGGAATAGAGAGAGAGAGAAACATCGATGTGAAAGGGACACATCGAGTAGCTGCCATCCACACGACCAACCAGGGCCGGGGACAAACTGCAACCGAGGTACGTGCCCTTAGCGGGAACCAAACCCGGGTCTCTCTGGACCGCAGGCCAATGCTCTAACCGCTGAGCAAACTGTCCAGGGCTGATGCATTTTATTTATGTAAATGAATGATATCCTTAAATAAAGAACCCCAGGATTTTCCCTTCTGTGTGTTTTCATCTTACTTCACGTCCATGATGCCTGCTAAGGTTGTGAGTACAATGAAAACAAAGTGATAGGATGGGAGCAGGATCTTTGTGTTGCACATCAAATCTGGGGCTGATTACTCCACACTTGTTTAACCTACCCGTGAGGGTCACAACAATTTTCCCAGCTCTGTGATCATCAGTAATTTCAGATTTGCCAATGTAACCATGCTTCATCACAGTTAGAAACTGGATTGTGACTTTGGAGCATGGCCTAATAAGAACCTGGTATTTGCCTCACCTCTCTTTTTGGCATTGTTGATCCTCTTGAGAGCATCAGTCAGGACATTCATGTGCACCATTATGGTGGCATAAATAGCTGGGAGAAAGAGCTCATTGTACAAATCTTTCACCTCCTTGGTCTCTGGCCTCTGGTTTCTCCATGAGAAATCAGTTCTAAGTCTTGTTGAGGATCCTTTACACATGGTAAATCACTACTTTATTGCTGCTTTCAGTATTCTCTCCTTTTCTTTGACTTTCAGTAGTTTGATTATGATGTGTCCAGGTATGTCTCTTTTGGAGTTTTCTGCTTAGGTTTGTTGAGCTTCCTAGATATATGGAGTAATGTTGTGTGTGTGTGTGTGTGTGTGTGTGTGTTTTAAATCAAATTTGGTGATTGTTTTGGCCATTATTTCTTCAAATGTTCTTTTTTTTTTATTTATTTTTTTTTTATCCTCACCCGAGGACATTTCTCCATTTTTTGTACAGACAGAGTGGGAGGGAGAGAGAAGAAGAGAGAGAGAGAGAAACATCGATGTGAAAGGGACACATCGAGTGGCTGCCACCCGCACGACCAACCAGGGCCGGGGACAAACTGCAACCAAGGTACATGCCCTTAGCGGGAACCGAACCCCGGTCTCTCCGGACCGCAGGTGGGCGCTCTAACCGCTGAGCCAAACCGGCCAGGGCTTCAAATGTTCTTTCTGTCCCTCTGGGACACATTCATTTTGTCAGTGACCTTTTTTTTTTTTTTTTTTTTTTATAAGGGGGGAATTTTAGTTGCTCTATCTGTGTATGTTTGTTTTTCTGAAAACAAGAATATACCAAAGTAGAGACTAAAAGAGTACCTGGATATACCAGGGGTGAGGGTAGAAAGGTGGCATGAAGAGACATTGGTGATAAACTGGCACAGTTAGCTCAGATAGAGAAAGCCAGCCAAGTGGAATAAAGGATATGAAGGTAGCAGGGCATATTTCAGATATAAGAATGTAACTCATGACAGATAAGGAAGAATAAGCCCATACATGATAAGGCACTTTAAAATTAAATGCTGTTCAGAACATTGGGTAGCCATCTGAAGAAAAAAGTGACTTATAAATGGCCTTAATTTTCAGATAAGTTAAAAAGCTAAATCCGTTTTAAAAAGAAGAAAAAGCCCTGGCTGGTTGGCCTGTGGACCAGAGAGGCCTGGGTTCGGTTCCCACTAGGGGCACGTACCTTGGTTGCAGTTTGTCCCCGGCCCTGGTTGGGGTTGTGTGGGTGGCAACCACTTGATGTGTCTCATGTCTGTGTCTCTCTCATGTCAATGTTTCTCTCTCTCTTCCTCCCTCTCCCTCCTTCTCTATCTGAAGATAAATGCAAAAAAAAAAAAATCCTCGGGTGAGGATAAATAAATAAATAAAAAGAAGGAAAAAAACAGCCTGGCCAGTGTGGCTCACTGGTTGAGTGTTGACCCATGCACCAAGAGGTTGCTGGTTCAATTCCTGGTCAGGGCACATGCCCAGGTTGTGGGCCAAATCCCCAGTTGGGGATCATGGAGGAGGCAGCCAATTGATGTTTTCTCTCTGTCTCTCTCATTGATATTTCTCTCTCTCTCTCCCTTTCCCTTCCTCTCTCTTTAAAATAAATTTAGAAAAATTATTTTTTAAAAAAAGAAGGAAAAAACAAAAGTATATTTTTTGTAGTGGAAATATATTAAGAAACAAGAAGGCATTGTTTGTGGCAAAGTTGGGGTGGTCTTTTCTATAAAAATAAAATGTTATGTATGATTAAAATCAAAGTGATATTGATATAGCAAAAAATATTTGTGATAATTGAGACAAAAAACTCAATATCCAATTTGGCAAAGGACAGGCTTTTTTTTTTTCCTGCACAACTTATATATATATGGCAGTTTGGATACATGGGTAAAAGACTGTTTTCTATGAAGATGCATGGATGATAAACTCTACCACATGGAAAAACCATGTTTATTTTCACTAATTAAGGAAATATAGTGAAAAAAAAACAAACTATGAGGTTTTCATTCTGTACCCATAGAACAAACTATAATGAATAAAATTGATAAACAATAGTGTTGAGGGTGTATAGGTGTATGTGGTTTTATTGGTGATAGTTTTGATTTCTCCACTTAACAAACAGCTGAACATCTGCGTGTAAGATACTGAAGCAGGCTTCTGCAGACACTTAGTGAGCACTTGCAGCGTGATAGATGCTAGTGATTCAAAGGTGAATCAGGCAATGTCCAGGCCCCAAAAGCTCTTCTGGTGTAGTGGGGAGTCAGAGAAGAAAATAAGACATTTCAAAGGCCATTTAGTGTCAGCTCCTCTTAGAGCTCAGGCTACCTGGCTAGTGTCCTCCAAGCCCACCTTTGTGTGGACACAGGACCTTCTTCAGGGGGTTTATAGTCTAATGGTAAGGGTATGAGAGGTGTATCTGCAACTAGCATGCAAAGAAGTGGTAAGGGCTATAAAGGTGAACTTGACAGGGGGTTTTGGGAATCTCATGGAGGACAGGTTACTGCTGGCAAGGCTGGGGCCCCAGCAAGGGCTTGCACTGCTTTATACTGCTCATTCCCGGTCAAAGCCCAGCCTGGCAGCAGAGCTGCTTTTTATAAGCATAGGTCACTCAGTGCTGCCCACTTGTAAGCTTGCCTTCTTGCCTGCCCCTGAAACTACGATCACTGGCTACACAGGCTCTGTGTCAAGCTCTGTCTATCCCTTGGGAAACCACACTGATTCTTAGGACTTGGATACCACCCATGCATCCATACTGCTTAGTGGTGGTGATTTCTTTGGTTGGGCCTGCTAGCCATCAGATACTTGATAACCTGAATGCAACATGGAAAGAATAGCACAGAAACCCCTAGAGTGTGTAGTAATCTGGATTATGGGTATGCTTGGGGGAGCTGCCCTAGCAGCTCTTTGACCACTTGAGCCCTGCACACTCCCATGAAGGAGCAAAGGCCATTGTGCTCACTTGGTTGTGACTTTCTGAGTCTCATGAGGAGTCTGTATAGGAATGAGTAGCAGGGTAAGAGTTTCTTCCTATCTTCTTCTGGAGCCCACAAACCCCTGGGCATGAACTTCTTATTTGCCTTCCACATCTATTGAAATGATGACTGAACAAAGCAGAACAATATTGTCTCCCACTAAGGGGCAGAGAATCTTAGTCCTTCAGGAGACACCAGCTCTCCCTTCTTTTTCGTAATCTTGATTTTGAAGAAACCCCTTTTTCCTTTTGTGAGTCTGACTATCTCCAGAACTGAGACTCTCACTTCTTTTGTTTCCACACAGTGTGACCCATGTTGGATAGGGGTTTTAGACTTTTCTTTCCTTTGTCCATCTCAAGTCTTCCTCCTTGTATTTCTGTTCACTGGTTCCACTTTTGTTCTTGGACATTTCCTGGGATGAGGCAGGAGGTTCTTAGAGGGGATGGACGGCAGCTGAGACTAGTAGGTGATGAAAGTATCCAGGTGTCCACATCATGGCTGTTGTCTTCTCTTTGGCTCCCTGAGCTGCTTACCCTTTCTAGGCTCAAAATATCTCCAAGGTCCTTAGAAAGAGCAGCTGATTGAGGGAAGGTCATTCAAGACCCTGTTTGCCATGCTTGGGCTGGGAGGACAGCACCGTATGTCCCAAAAGACATGATTTACTGTTGGTAGTAGGGTGACAGACTAAGTGGCCCCCACTGGGTGTGCAGTAAAAGTCCTCCCCCAGTGTAGTGCCCAGGGTCTACATGCCCTGGACTGACAAATGCCCTCTGATTTCTCCATAGGAGCTGATCGACCTCAAGATGCTCCAGTGCAAGAGAGTTGTCAATGGTGAGTGCAGCACTGGTCTCAGGGTTGTGTGTGTGTGCCCAGTGAGGCCCAAGCCATACTATCACTGCTCTTGCCTGTGGTAACAGGTCCTTCCAGGGTTCTCCTTGCCTGACTGTGTAATTTTGTGGATCATATGTTCCTTTGAGAACAGTCACTGCTCTCCAGAGACCCTGACAAGAGCCAGATATGAAACAGGCTAAGAATGCCTTCCATCCACAGGCTTGCTGGCATAGAAATTACCAGGTTTCATAGTACAGGAAGGACTCTAGAAGAATCCTAGAAGTTGGGTTGGCTTTGGCGCTGGCCCTGGCTCTGCTACTTGCTAGCTGTGTGGCCTTGGGCAAGTCACATGACCTCTCTGCTTCAGTTTCTTTAGCTGTAAAATGAAAATCATAATTCCTTCTTTATTTAAATCAGGATGGAGTGAGGATTAAATAAGATAAGGTACATGTAAGTACTTTGCAAATGAAAGTGGTTATGCTGAATTGTGGGTTTGCTTATATTTTATTGATGAGGCTGATCTTGCTTTGATTAGAGTTGTGATATTATTTGAGGTTTTTAAAATGGATATACATTTGTCAGATCTTAATATAAGTTCACTAGAAGTTGTGACTCAATTTTGTCATTGTTTTAGATTTATATTTTCCTTGTTATGAAAAATTCAACGTTACAGATCTATATAACCTAGAAAATGAAAATCCCCCATAATCTCGTACTTGAATAGGTGATCACAAAGAGGAATAATGTATATATATATATATATATTTACACATTTAGTAAAGCATGTATATGAAAATATAATGTTTGTATATCTCCTTTCCTGCCCCCTTGGTATCACGATACACATGTTTTGCCACTTACTTTTCTACCAGGATTTTTTCTATGTCAGTACTTATGTCAGAATTTATTTCACCACTGCTTTAACAGGGGTGGCAGTATTTTGCTGTCATAAATAAATAGAGCTCTAGTATAAACATACTAAGTTTGTTAAAAACTCTTTTTTAAATCCTCATCCGAAGATATGTTTATATGTGTTTTTTGTTTTTTTTTTTTAATTGATTTTAGAGCCTGGCTGCTGTGGCTCATTAGATTGAACATTGTCCCATGGACTGAGAGGTCCCACTTCAGTTCCTAGTCAGGGCACATGTTTGGGTTGTGGACTCAACCCTCAATAGGGGGCATGCAGAAGGCAGCTGATCAATGTTTCTCATATCGATGTTTCTACCTCTCTCTCTAAAAAAACAATAAAAACATGTTTAAAAAAATAAAATTTATTTTAGAGAGAGAGGAATGTGGGGGGGAGGGAGAGAGAGAGTGAGAGAAACATTGATGTGAGAAACAGCGATTGGTTGCCTCCCATATGTGCCCCAACTGTGGGTTGAACTTGCAACCTAGTTATGTGCTCTGACTGGGAATTAAACCTACAACCCTTTTGTTGTATGGGACAATGCTCCAGCCAACTGAGCTACCCACTCAGGGCCCACACCAAGTTTTTGTGGTTCTTATCTTAGACTTCTTACTGCTAGTCATGAGCTGTCTCTGCTGATGGAAATTGCATTGATTACCTCTCTCAACATGTTACTGCCTTTACTCCACCTTTTTAATCTTCTAATCTGTTTAGTGCTGGGGTGATAATAACAGATTTTATTTATTGAAGTGCATTACTTGCATTAAAGATCTCATTTATTTGTCAAATTCTCCAACCACTTTCATTTGCCACATTGGATCTCATCCATGTGCTATTAGTCATCTTTGAATGCTAATTATGAAGAAAAGAAAGCTAAGTATGTATGGTAGTACCTGTTATAAGAGCTTTGTTATGATGATCACGAGAGTATTATTTGCAATTGTTATGTTCTATAAAGTTGCTTCAAACACCAAATTTATGAATACCAAACTATGATTCCTAGGGGAAATATAGGCATGCCTTATTTTATTGTACTTTGCAGATACTGTAGTTTTTACAAATGAAAGTTTGTGGCAACCTTGCATCAAGTAAGATGGCACCATTTTCCCAACAGGTTCAGAGGATGGTTAGTATTTTTTTAGCAACAGACTTTTAAAATTAAGGTATCTACGTTTTTTTAGACATAATGCTATTGTATACATAGTAGACTATAGTGTAAACAACTTTCTTAAGTATTGGAAAACCAAAAAATTTGTGTGACTCCCCTTATTGTGATACTTACCTTTTGTGGTCTGGAACTGAACCTGCAGTATCTCGGAGGTATGTCTGTACATGTTTAGATTCCTGCAAACCTCTGGTCACATATTTTCATTAACAGATCAATACATAATCTTGTTTTATGTGTGCTTCTATTTAAAGACACATGATTTAATATATTCTATTGATTCATTAACATTGAACTCACAGCCAACAGCACTATAATTTCATGCCTGAACAAAGCTTATCTGACACATGTATTTTCTCTGTAAGGCGCATCACACCCTTCTTGCGCGTAGGAACATTAGGCAGCATTTCTCTGTGTTTGGGGCCATTTAAAAGAATGAGATTACCAACCAAAATGCAAAAGTGTGGCATTAAATATACCATCATAAAGACACTTGTTTATAGTCATAGATCTGAAACAAGAAGGCAGAGTGTTACCTTGTTTGACCTCAGCTTCCCAGTGTACATCCATGTGTATATCCAGTGAATGAAATTTTCTATAGTTCTATGCATCTCCGAGAATGATGATGAAAACGCCATGAGTATTGATTTTGGGGTTACAAATAAATTTTCAATTATACAACTGCAACTAATAAAGATTGACTGTAATATAGTAAATCTCTGCTCACAGTATCTGGCATCTGATAAGTAACTAACAAATAGCAACTTTGCTGAATTTCAGAGTGACATCTGGGAAAATTGGGTTAAAATCTGAAGTTCAGATAAGGTTCTCTATATGCACATTTTTTTTCAATGTTTTAAAATCGCAAAATGTAACATCCATACAGAGAAAGTGCATAAAACACAGCATGCAGTTTAAAAACAAATAATTGTAAAACTAACAACCATGTAACTAACCATCACTCAGACCAGGAAATAGAACATCATTAGCCCCTCAGAAGTCTCCAATGTGCACACTGATTTCTTTTAAGAATGATATACTTCCAGTGCCCCTTTTTCCCTTTAAGCTGATACTTTTGCTATGTTTTCTTACAGGGATTAGGCTAGGTTGAACTTACTTCTTCAGTGGGTGGGCTTGTATTTTTGTGTTTTCTTGCAGAAGTGCTCAGCACAGTGGACTTTGTCGCTCCTGATGACCGAGTAGTCTTCCGCACCTGCAAAAGAGAACAGAACAGGGTTGTCTTCCAGATGGTATGAGATCTCAGGCCTCACTTATCCCCCGGATTTGCCATCTCATGCCCTGAGCTGGGCCAGTGTTAAGTGCCTAGGCTTCAGTGTACAGTGTGTTTCCCAAAGACTCTTCTTTAACATTTTTCAAAGATCTGCTTGATTATACTGTTGGAGATAGTTTATGGAAATCAATCTATAGCAGTTTGTTATATGTCTCTAGTCTCAAATTTAATTTCCTTGATTATAGGAATTATCTGTTTGGCATGATATATATACACACATATATATGTATACACATATATATGTGTGTATACACACACACACACACACACACATATACATATATATATATATATTTTTTTTTTTATCCTCACCAGAGGACATTTTTCCATTTTTTGTTCAGGTAGAGTGGGAGGGAGAGAGAGGAACAGAGAGAGAGAGAGAGAAACATCGATGTGAAAGGAACACATCGAGTGGCTGCCACCCGCACAACCGACCAGGGCCGGGGACAAACTGCAACCGAGGTACGTGCCCTTAGCGGGAACCGAACCCGGGTCTCTCAGGACCGCAGGCCGACGCTCTAACCGCTGAGCCAAACCGGCCAGGGCTATATATATATTTTTTAATTCTCGCCTGAGGATATATTTTTTTCTATTTATCTTCAGATAGAGTGGGAGGGAGAGAGAAGGAGAGAAAGGGAGAGAGAGAAACATTGATGTGAGAGGGACACAACTGGTTGCCTTCTGCATGACCCCGACCAGGGCCAGGGACAAACCACAACTGAGGTACATGCCCTTGACTAGAATTGAACCCGTGACTCATTGGTCTGTGGGCCAATGCTCCAACCGCTGAGCCAAATCAGCCAGGGCATGACTTACATATTTTTAATCCCTAACATTAGTTATTCAGATTATGGTCTTTGTTTATGTGTAGTCTTTTGTGTATATATTTATTTCCCACAGAAAGAAATTAGGTTTACTCAAGAGTAGTCAATATTTATGTTAGGGTTGTAATAACTTTGTAGCTCTCATCTCTCACTTTAGGCATTTCTTGGTACTTTTAGAATAGCTCCTGAATTAGATTGTTGTTTTTATTTTTTATCCTCACCTGAGGACATTTTTGCATTTATCTTCAGATAGAGTGGGAGAGGTGGAGAGAGAGAGAGAGAGATAGAGAAAGAGATAGAGAGGAAGAGAGAGAGAGAGACATCGATGTGAAAGAGGCACATTGAGTGGCTTCCACCCACACGACCCCAACTGGGGCCGGGGACAAACTACAACCGAAGTACATGCCCTTAGCGGGAACTGAACCCGGGTCTCTCTGGTTCGTGGGCCGGTTTTCTAACTAAGCCAAACCAGCCAGGGCCTGAATTAGATTTTTAAAAAATTGATAACAATGGGTAGACATATAATAAAGCAAATATAGCAAAATGTTAATTATAGAATCTAAGTGGTGTGTATATGATTGTTCACTATAAAATTTTCTCAAATTTTTTATATGTTTGAAAGTAATCATAGCATTGATGACATTTTCTGGGTCCTCTAGGTGCCCCCCCTCCTTTTTAAACCTCATCTGAGGATATTTTTCCATTGATTTTGATTTTGATTTTTTAAAAATATTTTTTCTCATGGAAGGACCTGGAAAGTATTATTCTAAGCGAAACAAGCCAAGTAGCAAAAGACAAATACCACATGATCTCGCTTATTTGTGGAATATAATGAACATAACAGTCTGAGGAATAGGGTAGACCCAGAGACATGGAAGTAGGGTACAGACTGACAACCCTCAGAAGAGGGAATGGTGGGGGGAGGGGAGAGATAAACCACAGAACTTATATGCATGTACGCATAACCAATGGACATGGACAACAAAGTCGGGGACAGGGTGGGGGAGATGGGGAGGAGGGTGTCAATGGGGTAATAAAGGAGAAACATCTGTAACAAAAATAAAATTTAAAAAAAAAGGTTTAAAAAATATTTTTTTTTTCTTTATTGGTTTTAGATAGAGAGGAAGGGAGAAGGAGAGAGAGAGAGAAACATTGATGACAGAGAATATCGATTGGCTGCCTCCAAATGCCCCCCAACTGGGGATTGGGCCTACAACCTGGGCATGTGCCCTGCTTGGGAATCCAACTGGTGACCTCCTGGTCCGTGGGTCAATGCTCAACCACTGAGCCACACTGGCTGGGCTCCATTGATTTTTAGATAGAGTGGGAAGGAGGAAGGGAGAGCAAGAGAGAAACATTGATATGAGAGAGACACATCGATTGGTTGCCTCCTGCATGACCTGGACCGGGGCTGGGGATTGAACCTATAACTGAGGTACATGTCCTTGACTAGGAATCCAACCATGACTCTTTTTTTTTTATCCTCACCCGAGGACATTTTTCCATTTTTTTATTCAGATAGAGTGGGAGGGAGAGAGAGGAAGAGAGAGAGAAACATCGATGTGAAAGGGACACATCGAGTGGCTGCCTCCTGCATGACCCAACCAGGCCCGGGGACAAACTGCAACCGAGGTACATGCCCTTAGCGGGAACCGAACCCGGGTCTCTCTTGACCACAGGTCGACGCTCCTCTAACCGCTGAGCCAAACCGGCCAGGGCCCAACCATGACTCTTTAGTCTGCGGGCCAACACTCTAACCGCTGAGCCAAACTGGCCACGGCGTAGGTCCACTTTTGGCCTTTGACAGTGAGTTTGTTTAGTGGACTCGTTTTAAGAGACCCCAGCTGGACTCCAGTTGCTGATGTGTGTATGTGTGTGGCATGTTCATGAGTGTTTGCCTGTGCGTGTGTACCTGTGTCAGGATGATGGTTGATACAACCTTTTGTGTTCCCAGGGGACTTCAGACGCAGAGCGAGCCCTTGCTGTGGCCAGACTTGTGTAAGTTCTTTCCTCTTTGGAACTATCTTTGCCTCTCCTGTGGGCTGTGAGGCTGTACTGTTCCTGGTGACATTGGAGGTGACTGCCCTTCTGCTTCCTAGTTCACTACCTTCTGTGTGCAGTCTGGTTTTCTTCTCTGTTTGTGGCATCTGAGGGCTGCCCTGGGACTCATGCATACCCATTGTGCCCAGATCCCAGATAACCTCTGTGTGAGTGTCTGTTTTTTTAGTATTTATTCATGAGGCTCCCTGTCCAAGTATTCTTTAAAAAAAATTTTTTTTTTAAACAATATGTTTTTATTGATTTTTTAAAAGTTAAAAAAAATTTTAAAAACATTTTTCTTCTTTATTGATTTTAGAGAGAGAGGAAGGGAGAGGGAGAGGGAGAGATAGAAACATCGATAAGAGAGAACATCGATTGGCCATCTGCATGCCCCCTACTGGGGATTTGGCCTACAACTTGGGCATGTGCCCTGACAGGGAACCAAATCCATGACCCCTCGATGCATGGGTCGACACTCAACCTCTGAGCCACATTGGCTGGGCTGTTTTTATTGATTTTTTTAGAGCGAGATGAAGGGAGGGATAGAAACATCAATTGGCTGCCTCCTGCTTGCCCCCCACTGGGGATTTGGCCCACAACTTGGGCATGTGCCCTGACCGGAAATCTAACTGGGACCCCTCAATCCACTTTGCCACACTGCCTGCTCCAAGGATTTTTATGACTATGAGCCCTGAGGTTTTAAATTTCATGAAATGTAGGTTATACTTGTTGCATGCTAATAACGAAGGCAGGACAGTGTTGTAGTTAAGGAGTTAGAAGGACCTGGATTGGAATTCTGGCTTTGCTAGTTGCTAATTCTGTGACCTTAGGTAACCTTGTTGAGAACTAAGTTTCCTCATCTACAAAGTAGACCAATAGAATTACCTACCTCTGGCATTATAGGGAAAGGTAAATGAAATAATGCACAATAATATCTTTGCAGTGTGTAGCACGTAGTGAGTGCTTAGTAAATATTAGCTGTTGTTATTAATTATAGTAAGGGTGAGAAGGAACTCACACAATAGTTGCTGCTGAATCACAGCCTGTTAACTGTGTACATACCAGAAGATGAGGTAAGGTTTCTTTCTACATCTGAGAACTATTTGGAGTAAGCCAACTGCATGACCCAGCCAACAAAGGCAGTCCTGTAACTTCCTCCAGAATCAGTGCTCTGGGCAAGGACTCTTATGCTCATGTCACTTTTGTGCATGGACAAATGGCTTTCACTACCCGAGTCAGAACTGGAACTCTGGGATCAAGTTCAGTGTTGTAGTTACTTGTAAAGTCCTCTACAACAAGCTTTTTGTAAATGTGTGAGCATGTTATGCCATACCTCTTGAGCTCTTCTCAGGGGAGGCAAGTGTACATTTTTGTGACAGGGTTTCTTTTCATCTTCTGACACTGAGGGTTGGTGTGTTTCAGGGTCAGGGACATGGTAAGGAATTCATGAGCACAGACCCATGCCTTTGACTCTAACTTCTTTCCTCAAGTTGAACATTTTACTACCTTTTCTGTTTTATGTTTTTTCAGAGAAAATGATGTGGCTGGCATTGACGTCAACATGGGCTGTCCAAAAGAGTATTCTACCAAGGTAAACTGAGTTCTTTATACTTTTCACAAATATAAGGTTAGATTAAAGAGGACTAATGAGACATGGCAACTAAGTATAGTACCTGACTCTAGTCTAGATCCTGTATTAGGTAGGAAAGTGCTCAAGAGGATATTATTGGATCAGTGGGCAAAATTAGAGTAAGGACCATAATAGATTAGCTAAAAATACTATATCAGTGTAAATTTATGAAGTCACCAACTCTTCGGTATTGTAAGAATGTCCCTATTCTTATAAAATACACAGCACGCCCTGGCCGGTTTGGCTCAGTAGTTAGAGCGTCGGCCCACGGACCAGAGTCCCGGGTTCAGTTTCCGCTAAGGGCACATACCTCTGTTGCATTTTGTCCCTGGCCCCGGTTGGGGTTGTGTGGGTGGCAGCCAGTTGATCTGTCTCTCTCGCATCGATGTTTCTCTCTCTTTCTTCCTCCCTCTCTCCCTTCCGCTCTATCTGAAGATAAATGCAGAAATGTCCTCGGGTGAGGATAAAATAATAAATAATTAAAATAAAATAAAATATACAGCAAAATATTTAGGGATCAAGGGCTATTTTATATATATAATTATATATAATTTTACCCTCAAATGGTTCAGGAAGAATTTTATATGTACATACACATATACATAAACACACACACACAGAGCACTTATGCCTATTTTGTTTTAAATGACGTAAGTGTTGCCCTGGCCTGTTTGGCTCAGCGGTTAGAGCGTTGGCCTGCGGACCAGAGAGTCCTGGATTTGGTTCCCACTAAGGGTACGTACCTTGGTTGCGGTTCGTCCCTGACCCTGGTTGGGGTTGTGTGGGTGGCAACCAGTCCGTGTGTCTCACATGATGTTTCTCTCTCTCTCTTCCTCCCTTTCTCCCTCCCACTCTATCTGAAGATAAATGCAAAAATGTCCTCAGATGAGGATAAAAAATAATAATAATAAAAAAATAAATGATATAAGTGTTAAAAGAAAAAATGTGAACAGGGCTTTGTCTTTTCATGAGTAATACCAAGACAATTTTTAAAAATAGAGGATGCACCCTGGTTGGTTTGGCTCAGTGGTAGAGCATCAGCCCGCAGACCAATGAGTCCTGGGTTCGATTCCAGCCAAGGGCATGTACCTTGGTTGCGGTTAGTCCTTGGCCCTGGTCAGGGTTGTGCGGGAGGCAGCCAGTCGATGTGTTTCTCTCATGTGGATATTTCTTTCTCTCTCTCTCTCTACCTGAAGATAAATAGAAAAATATCCTCAGGTGAGGATTAAAAAAAAAATAGAGGATGCAATACATGTGTTTCCATTGTTATATCAGAAGATTAGACCAGAGTGCTAGGGTAGCTCAGAAAGGAGCAGGAAGGCAGTACTTCAACTTGGGATTTTATAGGGAAATGTGCTCCTTGAGGAGGAGATTTTGGACCCTATAGGCAGAGGAGAGGCACAGCAGAGGCTTAGATGCCAACATGAGGAAGAGACAGAGAACCTTGATTTGACCAGAGGGTTAGAGAGTGGGAGATGCAGAGGAAACAGGAGCACAGGATTGAAAATCTTGATTGGGACCAGTGTAGCTGCACTTGGATTTTCGATATCTCTGGCCTTTTTTGAACAGAAAGGCATGCGATCAGAAAATTAATTTCTTTCCCCAGGGGAAACCAATGTTACCAGTTTCTTGTGTCTCTTTCCAAATATGTTCTAGGAGTAAAAATACTAATCTAGGAGCTGTGCATCTTGTGGATTGAAGTGGAAAGAGGCTAAAGGTGGGTACATAGATGTAGGGGATGAGTGTCATGGGTCCATAGGAGAGACCAGGGATAGAGAGAGGAGAAGCTCAACTGGAGCAGAATTTGATAGGACTTGGCTGGGAAATGATTGAACTCGGTATGGGGAAGTAGGGTGCATGGTGGGGGTAGAGGGAGGAAAGACTAGCAAATAGGAGGACGGTTAGTCTTCCATGTCAACAGTACTGCTTGAGTAAAAGCATGTTTGAAGTAGATAACAAGGACAGCTTGGGGCTGGATGTGTGTGAGACAGCAGAGGGACTCCTGCGGGGCTGCCCCTGGGAACCTTATTGCAGAGTGTGTAGTCAGGGTCTGTAGTGTAGACATAGCAGATAGCCCCTGGGCCCACTACCCAGAGTCAGCCATTTTGTTTTCAGGAGCTACATGGCCTGGGGACCTTTTCTTTAGGTCAGGAGTCTGAAGACTGCCTGAGGGAAAGGCCCTTCGGAGGTTTATAAACAGCTGCTTCAAGGAATTACGGAGATTTGAAATTGTCTGTGAGGAACTACAAACTTTGCACTCTATTGTGCTGTCTTCACATTACTACTCTATGTGAGTTGTGTAAACAGAGTTGAAATTTATTGGGATAATCTCCCTGAAATTGTGGAGTGAAAAAAAAAGGGCAGAATTATGGTGTACCGTATTTATGTATGGGGGATTGGAAATGAATATTTATATATATTTACTTTTCTCTTCATAGAATGTATTTGGAAAGACACACAAGAAACTAATATCACTGGTTTCTTTCCCCTAGGGAATGAAACTAAGTTTTTATTTGGTTTTGCACAGGGATTAAATTCCCATTGCAGGGGTGCTAGTCAAAATAGTTAACAACTAATACAGCACTGACAATGACCAGTCAGAACAGATACTAAGCAGTAGGCCATACCAGTACATACCATCTGGATATTTGCTCTCTTCTGATGGTTCAAAAATCGAAGCCATATTAAAAGTATAAATTAAAAAGTTTTTTCTGCCCTGGCTGGTTTGGCTCAGCAGTTGGAGCATTGGCCTGCGGACCAGAGAGTCCTGGGTTCGGTTCCTGCTAGGGGCACTACCAAAAAATAACAAAAAGTTTTTTCATTTCTCAGGGAAGGAGAGTTCTTACTTTTTAACCTTTTGAATCTTGAAGATGTTTAATGTGTTACCTATTCAAAAAATCAAATAAGTTAAATAGAAAGGAAGGAAGGAAGGAAGGAATTACTAATTGAGAAAGCCATTATTATGGAAGGTGTGGTAAGACTGCATTTTAGAGCCTGTGATTCCACAAGGAAGGGCTGAATTGTGTGTGAGTTGAAGGACAGATGGAGCCTGGGTGTGACCAGAGCTTCCTTAAAGCCTCTAAGGTTTGTATCTGTGGCCAAGGTAGGCCAGGGCTAGTCCTCTTCTGCCCTTCCCATTTTCCTCTGACATGCAGGTGCAGGCTGGCCAAGTCTGGTGGGTCAGTGTTCTCTCTAATTCTAATCTGTCATCCTTTAAAACATGTAATCACTGAACTTAAACCTTCTGAGCACAGACCATGGGCATTCATTAGTATGCAGTGTGTATACTGACAGCATATATTTATTGGATTTGTTTTTTCTCCCTTCACCTCACTCTTAATAGTTTCAGATTTTTAACCCCCCATCCCCATTATTAAAGTAAGTCATTGCCATTGTCCAGAACTTGGATAATATAAAAGAAAAGTACAAAAAAGAGCAGGGAAATCACCAGTAATCCCACCATCAAAAGACACCATTGTTGTTGTTGTTTTTATTTATTTTATTTTATTTTTATCCTCACCTGAGGACATTTTTCCATTTTTGTTCAGATAGAGTGGGAGGGAGAGAGAGAGGAGAGAGAGAGAGAGAAACATCGATGTGAAAGGGACACATCGAGTGGCTGCCACCTGCACAACCCCACCAGGGCCGGGGACAAACTGCAACCGAGGTACGTGTCCTTAGCAGGAACCAAACCCAGGTCCCTCTGGATCGCAGGCTGACACTCTAACCGCTGAGCCAAACCGGCCAGGCCACACCTGTTGTTGTTAATGTCAAGATTTACATGATGCCCAGCCATGTGGCTCAGTTGGTTGGGTGTCATCCCACATGACAGGAGGTTGCTGGTTCAATTCCCAGTCAGAGCATCTGCCTGGGCTGCAGGCTCGATCCCCAGTAGGGGGCATGCAAGAGGCAGCCAATTGATGTTTCTTTCATCCATGTTTCTATCTCTCTTTCCCTTTCCCTTCCTCTCTCTGAGATCAATAAATTTTAAATATATATATAACAAAAAATTATTTACATGGCTCCATGGGTTGTTGGTGTCCATTAGCTGGGGCTTTGTTAAAGTTTTAACACTGGTCTGGGTGCTCAGGACTGGCCATTGCTACTGGCAGAGGAGAAGGGCCTGGACAAAGTTTGTAGGTTGCATGCTTCTGTGTGACATTGCTGGCAGTGGTAGTACCAAGCAAGTGATGGTAGGATAGGAAGAAGGTGCATTTGCTTTCATTTCAAAGGAAAAATGTTTCATTGTTTTTTTTAAGGGCATGGCAGATGGTGGGGTTTAGTTTATTAAGACATAGAGATCCTCGGTTAGGGAATAGATAGTCCTGAAACATTATTTTTGTAGAACCCACTTCTAGAGAGATCTGAAACTTTTGCTAAGGGATCAGAATAATGACTATTAGAATTCATAGACTCTGATCCCTGATATTGTGGGCACAGATACTGCTACTTTCCTACTTGCTTAGGAGAAGTGCTAATCACCAGGGGCGCTTGGTCCCCTAGTGGCAAGTGCTGGGATGCTGCCCCGTTTCCACAACATGGTGCCATATCATGGGGAGGGGCCGCACTCCTCCGACTGTTAAGAAGCCCCTCTGTGTGCTTTTCCTTAGGGAGGAATGGGAGCTGCTCTGCTATCAGATCCTGACAAGATCGAGAAGGTAAGTCCTGCATGAGTGAAAGCTGAGGTCCTTACACATGGAACACTTCTACTCTACCCCAGATTTCGTGAATTAGTTATTCCACCTGGGGTCTGGAAAATGTGTGAAAGGCTTCCCAGTGGTTTTTTTTTTATCCTCACCCGAGGACATTTTTCCATTTTTTTGTTCAGATAGAGTGGGAGGGAAAGAGAGGAAGAGAGAGAGAGAGAAACATCGACGTGGAAGGGACACGTTGAGTGGCTGCCACCCGCACGACCATCCAGGGCTGGGAACAAACTGCAACTGAGATACATGCCCTTAGTGGGAATCGAACCCAGGTCTCTCTGGACCGCAGGCCGATGCTCCAACCGCTGAGCCCAACTAGCCAGGGCTTCCCAGTGGTTTTTAATATGCAGTCAAGTTCAGGAATCCCTAAGCCAGCCTACATCAGCCTTGGAGTTCCTTAAAAGCCCAGGCGGGGCTAGGGACATGTCAACTGAGAGCCAGGGAGTGGTTGGGGGCTGAGGACTCATTTAGAACCTCCTCTATATTGCCTCTCTCCCTTCTGAGAAGATCATGAGAGCCTTTGAGAGCAGGCCAGGCCAGGGTCATATGAGGCAAGTTGAAATTAGTCTCCCCTGATGCCCTTCCCTCGTCAGTTCCGGTGGCCAGGTTTATGAGGCTCTGGGGACAGATTGGTGTTTGCCACCTAGTATTGTGAGCTGCCAGGGCATGTGGGGATGACATTTTCTACTACACCATATATACCTTTTACTTTCTTCTCACAGTATACCAGCTCTCTTCTTGTTGCTCCTCTTAGCTCCTTTGACTTTTCATTCTCCATCTCCACTTCCCTGTCTGGGCTTTAAACTTCCTAGTGCCTCTCACAGGCTACAACAGCTTGGAATAAAGCACCACCAATAAAGCTGTCATCACTATTTGTACTGGCTGCTGTGTCAGCAGCTCATCCCTGTGTATTCTTCTGGCCCCACTGTCTCTGGGATATAGGAAGGCCAGCATGTTTATGAGCTACCTTTTAATTTTTCCCATGTGCAGCTTGGTACATATAATGTATCTATAATGTGCCTGTAATGTATCCTTACTGTTTGTAATTTCCAAAGTATATTCCAGCATTTATTTCATTTGTTTTCCAGATCCCTTGAAGTTGACAGGGAAGGCATTTGTTATGTCCATTTGATCAAGAATAAGAAAACTAAAGCAGAGAGAGAGAGAGAAAACTAATTTGCTCAAGATCATGTAGCAAATAAGCAGGAAAAGCTGAGTCTAGAGTCATGGTCTTGTGACCTTTACCAAGCATCAGTGTCCCCTCTCAATGGCATCTCAGGTTAAATGTGTAAGGTATAGTTTATAAGTGTCCAGCCACACATAAGTAGATACCTGGACTTAGGAACCTCCAGTGAGACATCTCTCTGCAGGATGGAGTGGATGTGGATAACTGTGGATGTCAAGCTCATCACTGTACTTAGGGGAGAGGTGCCCCAGGAGGGAGTGTTTACTTCACAACATATGTACACAGATGTTTTTGTCATCCTCCTGCCTCCTGACTTCGGCTTCTCCCACTCGTGGTGTTGGTTTTGACCTCTCCAGTGCCCCTCATTGGGTACATTCCACATGTGGAGCAGCAGAGTTACACTCCACCTCTGAAGCTCAGTTCATTCTGCTCCTTCTCTTGTGGGGTGGTCAGAAGGGCCAGTGTGGACTGGGTTTTGCCTCGTAGAGGGTAGGTTTTAAGCTTCCATACTAAAGCCAAATGGGACATGGGAATAGTGGGCTGGAGTAAATTCAGGCTCGAATTATGCTGGCAAACTGAGCGACCTGGTCGTGGTCTTGTGACCTCTACGCTAGCATCAGTGCCCCCTCTTGATGGCATCTCTGTTAAAGGTGTCAGGTATAGCCCTGGCTGGTTTGGCTCAATGGTTAGAGCATTGGCCCGTGGACCAATGAGTTGCAGATTGATTCCGATCAAGGGTATGTACCTCTGTTGTGGTTTGTCCCCAGCCCTGAAAGGGGCCATGTGGGAGGCAACCAGTCGATGTGTCCCTCTCACGTAGATATTTCTCTCTATCTCCCTGTCTCCCTCCCTCCCTCTCACTCTATCTGAAGATAAATAGAAAAATATCCTTAGGTGAGGATTAAAAATAATAATAAATTAATGGAAAAAAAAAGATGTCAGGTATAGTGAGAGCTTTTTGGGTGTTCCCAGGCTTGGTGTTTTAGGCCTACGGTTCCATCTGTGGGAACATCTCAGGGCCACCGACAGAAATTTTTTCAAAATAAGGATGCTTGTTTGGAGTGATGAATATTTTTGGAAATAGATAAGATGCTATCTGTTGACAATTCTGCTACCCCTGGGGTGGATAGGGGCAGGGAGGGGATATCAGTCTTAGACAAAGCTTCCCAGGTAACTGTATTAAGAACCTCAGTTTGTTTGTTTTTTAAATTAAAAAAAAATTTTTTTCCCTTTATTGATTTTAGAGAGAGGGGAAGGGAGAGGGAGAGGAAGATAGAAACATTGATGAGAGAGAATATCAATTGGCTGCCTCTTGCATGACCCTGATTGGGGATTGGGCCCACAACCTGGGCATGTGTCCTGACCGGGAATCAAACCAGCGACCTCCTGGTGAATGGGTAGATGCTCAACCACTGAGCCACACTGGACGGGCAATAACTTCAGTTTTTAGTTTCTAATTCAGTAATATCCTCTCTCTCGCCCCTGCCCAGGCTTCCCTGGGCTCCCCCACCCCTGCTGCCCAGGGCATCCCCCTTGTGCACACTGCACTTAGGCCATGGCTAACAACTGGCAGGGTCAGGACTTGAACTCAGTTCCTACTGATTCCCAAGCCTAAGCTCTCTCATTCTCCTCCCCAACTTCTTTCCAACAACCAAGGGAGTTTTTCCTGTGTCACCCTGTGGATCTGGTAAGATGAGCCCACCTGTGGGTAGATGTGCTGTAATCTGCTCAGATATGGGTCTGTTGCAGGTTCTTTTCCCCACAGATATTCACATCACAGAGATATGGTATCACTTGGATCTGGGAGAGTTGTCAAGGAGAGTTTCATGTTAGAGCCTGGCTAGAAGACAGACTCTAGTTGCTTTTTCCTCTCAGTGTGACCCTTGCACATGAAACAGCAATACTAAAGAAGGTGCTTAGACCTACTTGGATAAAATATACCAAAAGGGCCCTGGCTCAGCGGTTAGAGCATCAGCCTGTGGTCCAAAGAGACCCGGGTTCAGTTCCCGCTAAGGGTGCATACCTCAGTTGCAGTTTGTCCCTGGCCCTGGTTGGTCATGCGGGTGGCAGCCACTTGATGTGTCCCTTTCACGTTGATGTTTCTCTCTCTTCCTCTCTTTCCTTCCTACTCTATCTGAACAAAAAAAAAAAAAAGAAAAAGGAAAAATGTCCTCGGGTGAGTATAAAAAAAAACTATATATATATATATATATATATATATATATATATATACACACACACACACACACACACACACACACACACACACCAAAAGGGCCCTGGCCAGATTGGTTCAGCGGTTAGAGCCTCGGCCCGCAGACCAATGAGTCTCGGGTTTGATTACGGTCAAGGGTACCTCAGTTGTGGTTCATCCCCAGCCCTGGTCGGGTCATGCAGGAGGCAACCAGTCGGTGTGGTTCTATCACATCTACGTTTCTCTCTGTCTCTCTCTCTCTCCTGCCCTCTCACTCTATCTGCTAATAAGTAGAAAAATATCCTCAAGTGAGGAATAAAAAAAATATAGTTATATATAATGAAAGGAAGCTCTCCAAAACAGAGAATTGGATTAAACCAGCCAGTGTTACTTAAATCACTGAACATAAGAGGATTCTAAGTCAACATTTGCGAAAGAACTTCCAGAGACAATGCTATCAGCCTGAGGAAAGGTCTAGAGTGAGAATTTTTATTGTGTATCTCAGTGTGTTTGGCAGTCGCCCCTTAAAGGGTAGGTACTCCTTTGAGATCTGCCAGAGGGACTCTAGGACCTCAGGCCCAGCCTGCCTCCTGGGGCAGCACATGAGGTCTGCTTTTTCCTGCCAGTCCCTGGCAGTTTTGCCTGGACCAACAGGCCTTGTTTTATCCATTATCTATCCTCATGCCTCTGCCCTGCCTCTTAGTCTAATAACTTCTTAGGGGCCTGCCTCATCCTGTCCCTGAGAAAAAGGCTTCCACTGGTTCTTGCAGCCTGGCTCTCTGCTGCCTTCACCTGTCTAGAACCAAGACTGGCAGCACCTGCCTGCCTGTCCCCTCTACTCTGACAGCTACCCAGTTCTTGAAGAGGGCTCTTAGAATCACCTTCCCTCCAGCTTTCCTGGCCTGACATTTTTGGTGAGGGAATAATTTAGCAATGCCACAGACATGCAGTGTCATCTACATTTCTCTCTCTCTCTCTCTCTTTTGGTTAATCCTTACCCTAGGACATTTTTTCCATTGCTTTTTTAGAGAGTGGAAGGGAGTGAGAGAAGAGGGGAGAGAGAGATAGAGAGAGAGAGCAAGAGAGAGAGAGAGAGAGAGAGAAACATCGATGTGAGAGAGACACATCGATTGATTGCCTCCCTCATGTGCCCCGACCAGGGGCTGGAGATTGAACTTGCAACCCAGGTATGTGCCCTTGACCGGGAATCAAACCCATGACCCTCAGTGTACAGGCCAACACTCTAACCACTGAGCCACTCTGGCCAGGGATACATCTCTCTTTTGATCTCTGACTCTTAGGGGGTCTGCTCTTGCTACCTCCCTGACACTTTCCTGTATGACTTTCTTGTTTTTTCTTTGAAGTTCTTTACAATTACTATGCAACGTAGATACTTTTTTATATGTTAATTATATTGTCTTTTCCTTTGCCAGTTTCTTTTTTTTTATCCTCACTCAAGGACATTTTTCCATTTTTTGTTCAGGTAGAGTGGGAGGGAGAGAGAGGAACAGAGAGAGAGAGAGAAACATCGACGTGAAAGGGACACATCGAGTGACTGCCACCCGCACAACCAACCAGGGCCGAGGACAAACTGCAACTGAGGTATGTGCCCTTAGTGGGAACCGAACCCGGGTCTCTCCAGACCGCAGGCCAACGCTCTAACCGCTGAGCCAAACCAGCCAGGGCTCCTTTGCCAGTTTCATGCCTGTATATCTGACTCCCCTAAAAAGTAGGGTACATGAGGACAGGGCCCAAGACCTGTAAAGCCTTCCTGCTCCCTCACTCTGCAGTTCCTGGAACAGCACTAAGGGAGCATTACCTTTACGCAGGAAAGAAGCTCTGAGCCATGTGTTCTTAACCAGGGCTAGGCGTCAGAATCATAGGAGGAAGGAGTGTGTTGGGCAGAGCCTTTAAAAACATATATTCCTAAACCCTGCCCCTATAGACTCATTCAGGAAATAATGAGGTGTTCTCTAAGAGTCTTTCTTTCTTCCTTTTTTTAAATCCTTACCGGAACACATTTTTGCATATCTTCAGATAGAGTGTGAGGGAGAGAGGGAGGAAGAGAGAGAGAAACATCAATGTGAGAGAGACATATCGAGTGGTTGCCACCCACACGACCCCAACTAGGGCCGGGGACAAACTGCAACTGAGGTACATGCCCTTAGTGGGAACCGAACCCAGGACTCTCTGGTCCGTGGGCCGACTCTCTAACTGCTGAGCCAAACCGGCCAGGGCGAGTCTGTATTTCTTAAGGTTTTCAGGCGTTTGCCTTGGCAAAGGGTCACTGTATTCTATACAGGCATGCATGCAGGATACATCACTTATTCATTCACCAAATATATGTACACCACTAAGTGCCAGGCCAGGGGCTAGCATAGAAAAAAGGTGTACTCCTTCCTTCATGGAGCTTACATGTATATGTGTGCAACAGACATTCATGTGGATATATACATGGACATAGACATGTATGTCCATGCCACTGGGATGCACAGGTCTGTAGCAGAAGTAATTAGTATAAGCCATTGTGGTTGGTTGTTCCAGAAGAGGCAAGTGCTTTTGTGTTCTTTCTGCAGATCCTCAGCACTCTTGTTAAAGGGACATGCAGACCTGTGACCTGCAAGATTCGCATCCTACCATCGGTAAGGATGGTGTGTTACATTTGAAGGTCCATTTACTTTGAGGATGTTTATTTGGGGTGTCAGTAATTTTGAGGAGCTGAATTAGGTTTGGAGGAGTGCGTAGAGCTGAACCTGCTTTAGGAGCTGGTAGCTGCTCCTGTGGCTTCAGTAACCACCCTGTGTGGTCCTATTCCTCAGCTGGAAGATACCCTGAGCCTTGTGAAGCGGATAGAGAGGACTGGCATTGCTGCCATCGCAGTTCATGGGAGGTGAGTGGTTGCCTTTTTAGTGACTGACTTGCAAGGAGGTCCTCAGCCATCTTAATGATCCTTCATCAGACCCCAGGTGACAACTAAGTTCTCTTCTACATATGCAGCCTACCTCTGCCTAGCTCTTTGACATTGTGGGGGTGATCAAACCCTGTATGGACTTGCATTTTATTTCATTCATTGAGCATCTACTGATGTTGGGCACTGCAGTGCACTTTAGAGGCAGACCAAGGAGGAAGGAGAAACGCCCCTACCCTCAGGATGTGTAAATGGTAGAGATGGAATGATTTGCTCAAAATTACATCATGCAGCCAGCAAGTGGTGGAATTAGAACTCTGACTCTGAATCTCATATTCTTTTCACTGCTGATGAGCAATAGCTTCTGTCTCATATGACCTCAGGTAGATTGCTGTTCTTTTTTTGTCTTAATCCTCACCCGAGGATATTTTTCTGTTTATCTTCAGATAGAGTGGGAGGGTAGGGGGAGAGAGAGAGAGAAATACTGATGTGAGAGAGACACATCGACTGCTTGCCTCCTTCACAACCCTGACCAGTCCTGGGGACAAACCGCAACCGAGGTACTTGCCCTGGACCGGAATTGACCCCACAACTCTAGCCACTGAGCCAAACCGACAGATTGCTATTCTTTTATTTATTTATTTTAATTTATTAAAAAAATTTTTTTTCCTTTATTGATTTTAGAGAGAGAGGAAGGGAGAGGGAAAGAGAGATAGAAACATTGATGAGAGAGAACATCAATTGGCTGCCTCTTGCATGCCCCCCACTGGGGATTGGGCCCATAATCCAGGCATGTGTCTTGACCGGGATCGAACCGGCAACCTCTTGGTGCATGGGTCGATGCTCAACCACTGAGCCACACCAGCCAGATGAGATTGCTGTTCTTTTAAAGTCACTGCCTCTTTTGTCTGCATGTTGGATTGCCAGCTGACACAATGACTGCCTTAAACAGTCCTTGTATCTGTAGCTGATGTGCACTCTACTGAGAACTCAGGTATTGCTGAAGGCTACTCTGGGTTTCCCAGTCAAACTTGCTTCCTGTGTTTAGGCTGTACAGAGCCCCAGGTCTGTAGACTTTGGCCAGAGTGACCTCTCTTCTCTGAGTGATGTTCCTTTTGGGTTCAGGGGTCTTGTAGGACCAGCCCATTTTTGCTGGTTATGCCTCTTATAGCATTTGCAGAAAAGGGAACCCAGAACTCCAACATATAAAACAGAAAAGCAGAGCTATATTGATGGAAGCCAGTAGGGGGAGGTAAAATGCTACACCCATTATATACCCTGAGGTAACAGGCTGTGGGCTCAGACTGCCTGGTTTCAAATTCCAGTTCTGCTGCTTCTTAGCTGTGTATCCTTGGACAGATCATTTAACCTCTCTCAGCACCACTTCGTTTGGAAATTTAGATAATTTCTGCTTTATAAGGTTTCTTTCTACCAGTAGTTGGAAACATGAGGAAGACAGATTTTAGTGAGTTTAAGGAGGGATTCTGGCCATCAAAGCTGTTGAGGATGGCTAGAACTGGCTGCTGGGGTATGGGGAGGTAAATGTGGAGGCTGAGTTGACTGGGTCTTCTGAGGCCCTGTGGCCCCTGATCCTTTTGTTAATGAGCATAGCAGAGAGGACACACCCAGAAAAGACCTGGGTAAAGGCAGGTCAACCACCTCTCTTGCTTGTTCCTGAGAACAGCTCAGGTCATGGCTCACCTCAGCATCACTAAGACTCAGTCTCATTCACAAGAACTTCTTGCAGTTGACCTTGGAAGGAAGGGACCTTGTGGTGCTGCATCCCTGAGGCTCACTGTGATAGCCATGGCCTGTGGCCTACCCTGGCTGCTGGGTCTACTCTGTGCCAGGTGCCTCTCCCCAGGATCAGCTGCCGAACTTGGCCTCAGCATAGGCAGCTGTGTGGGAGTGGCCAGTCTGAGTGGCAGCAGCTGTTCCTAGTCCCTTGGGGAGGGCAGAACCAGGGCAGTAGGGGTAGCATCCTTATGGCACTGTCTCTCACCTCTGCGAGAGACGAGGGAAAGCCAGAAAAAGGTGATGTGACCTTGGGGGTCAGGCCACCCACATGAGACCCCTGCAACCATGCCTCTCCTGTAGGCCTCCAAGAGCTGAACTTGCCTTCTCAGCATAGACTTGTGCTGCTCTTGACCCTCATAGCAGAGGTAATGGAGAACCATCGATTGCAGCCTAGAGCCCTGTCCTTGATGGCCACATGACCTTCCTGAGGTTCGGTAGGGAGGACAGTAGTGTTTGGCTAACATAACCCTGTGTGAACTGTGACATGACCTTTAGAACTCAGCCCTCAGGCCCATCTTTTTTGTTTATCTTCAAGGAAGCGGGAGGAGCGACCTCAACACCCTGTCAACTGTGAAACCATCAAAGCCATTGCTGAAACTCTCTCTATTCCTGTCATAGCCAAGTAAGCCTCCCTTCCTCATCATTTACTTTTTTATGCCCTACCTCACTCATAAGGGGTTTAAGCTGGCATATAAAAATGGAATGAGCCTGGCCGGTGTGGCTTAGTGGTTGAGTGTCGACCCATACACTAAGAGGTCACTGGTTCGATTCCTGGTCAGGGCACATGCCCAGGTTGTGGGCCAAATCCACAGTGGGGGGCATGCAAGGAGGTGGCCAATCGATGTTTTCTCTCATCAATGTTTCTATCTCTCTCTCCCTCTCCCTTCCTCTCTCTCTAAAAAATCAATGAAGAAAAAAAAATTTTTTTTAAATGGAATGAAATAGCATTAAAAGTTGACCTTAAGGGAAAAGAAGAAAAGGGGTGGGATGAAAAATGAAGTTGGTAATGAGGCAGACAAGTGCCTATCATGTTTCTTGGCCTCTGGTGAGTGGCTGATGTAAGTGCAATAGGCAGGGGCCCAGGGCATTCTGATGGATGGGTTGTAGGTAGGAGTGTTCAGGAGACAGGGAGAACAAGAAGGTGGCTGTGAAGCGGGCCCAGGGGAAGGTGATGTCACATCAGAGTTAGGTGTACAGGGTATTGAGTGAGGAGGATCAAGCCAGAACACACAAAATCATACAGGGTGGGCAAAAGGAGGTTTACAGTTGTGAGTAAACAAAACAGTTTATTCTTACATTATTTATTAATTATTATATTATTTTTCATATGAATAACTGTAAATCTACTTTTGACCATTCCTGTATGGCTTAAGGTTTATAAGGCCAGTCACAGTCCACAGTCCCAACAAGCATTCTGGGCAGCTATGGGACCTAGAACCCAGACTGGCAGGTGTGAGGTACCAGTGACCAGCCCAAAGGCTTCGTAGTCACACAGTGTCCAGTTGCTCCTGGGGAGCTGGCCTGTGTAGGCCAGTGGGGAGTCCATATCAGCCCTGCACTTTGGTATGGCACAGAACCTGATAGCAGGATGAGAACAAGAAAGTTCCAAAGCCATGAAGCCCTGACAAAAGGCATCCCTGACTGCTGGGAGTGAGAGGGAGAGGAGAGCTAAGGGTGGGGTTGGTAGCCAGGCCCAGACTCCCCCAGGCCAAGGAGTATGTATGTATGTATGTATGTATGTATGTATGTATTTATTTAGTGGTACATGCCCCGAGCGGGAACCGAACCCGGGACTCTCTGGTCTGCAGGCCTATGCTCAATCGCTGAGCCAAACTGGCCAGGGCCCAGGCCAAGGCATTTTAGAGGTGGTCTGGAGAGTTAGGGCTACTCAAAACACTGGACCCTCTTGCTGTTGCTCCCATCTGAGGTGTCCCCCACCTGCTGCCACACACACACACACACACACACACACGTGCACGCACACACAATGCTGTCTCTGGACTGAAGGTGCTTGCCTGGCTTCTAATGGAACAGATGAAGATAGAGCAGTTTATAAGGGAGTCCTTGGGGCTGCATGGTGGCAGGAAGGGAAATTGCAACCAAACTGGGCCTCCTTTCCTCACACAACCACCACTGTGTCTGCTCCCGCTCTAGGGTCTTGACCCAGCCCTTAGTGGCCATATAGGTGCCCCAGACTGGGGACGTTTCCTATCATCTCAATATCCACTTACAGACCTATGTCTTCAGATGTGGGCTGGCTTTAGCCGCGGCTTAGGATGAAGTGGAAGGAAGATAAAAAGTGCCAGGCATGGTTTGGCTGCTTTCCTGAATTGTCTCACTTGGTGCTTCTGACCCCACAGTGGGGTGTGTGTGTGAGAATCTCCAGGCTCTACAAGTGCTCACAGCTGAAGGACTTAGCCAAAGCCACACAGTTAGTGGGAGACCGACTTAGGAGTTGTGTTTTTCTGAAAATGCTGGGACAAGGATGGGGACACCCCCTCATTCCTGTTGCCTTTCAGTGGAGGATCTCACGACCACATCCTAGATTATTTGGACATCGAGGACTTTCGACAAGCTACAGCAGCCTCTTCAGTGATGGTGGCACGAGCTGCCATGTGGAACCCATCCATCTTCTGCAAGGAGGGTCTGCGGCCCCTGGAGGAGGTCATGCAGAAGTACATCCGATACGTACGTCTCTGCATTTTTTTAAAACAAACATTTCTCCCTATCTGCCACATTCCTGCAGAAAGCGCTTTGGGTGAGCCCCCAGCTGGCAGCTGGCAGCTACCAGCAGCCCTTGTTGTTTCTCTCCTTTTCTTTTCAGTTCTGGTCATGCAGCATTGGGTCTCCCAGGGTGGTGGGGAGGCCTACTGCTAATCACCTCCTTCTAAAGCTTCCAAAGTGAGTCCGGCTGGTATGACTTACTGGTTGAACATCGATCCATGCACTAAGAGGTTGCTGGTTGGATTCCTGGTCAGGACACATGCCAGGTTGTGGGCCCAATCCCCAGTGGGGGCATACAGGAGGTGGCCAATTGATGTTCTCGCTCATTGATGTTTCTATCTCTCTCTCCCTCTCATTTCCTCTCTCTCTAAAATCAATAAAAGGAAAAAATAAATAAATAAAGCTTCCAAGGTGAGGGGTCATAGCAAGGACCTCTGGGGTCCCAAACACATGATTGCTTTCTCTTTTTCAACCCCACACATGTATTTGTGCATGCACAATGACAGTGGGGTCTGTGTCATTGAAGACACCCATGCCAATGGGTTGGTGCCAGAGCAGCCACAACCAGGAGGAGTCATTGTAGTTATTATTGAGGACAGATTATCTCCATAGAGACTTCTCACCTTGTCTTAGTCAGAATCACTCAAAACTCTTCGCTTGCTAATTCCCAGAATGCTTTTATCCCTAACTTAGGGAATAGCCAAATGTTAACCCTCTCCTTAGGGAATAGCTTTTCCTTTTTTTTTTTTTTTTTTATCCTCACCCGAGGACATTTTTCCATTTTTTGTACAGATAGAGTGGGAGGGAGAGAGAGGAAGAGAGAGAGAGAGAGAAACATCGATGTGAAAGGGACACATCGAGTGGCGGCCACCCGCACGACCAACCAGGGCCGGGGACAAACTGCAACCGAGGTACATGCCCTTAGCGGGAATCGAACCCGGGTTTCTCCGGACCGCAGGCCAACGCTCTAACCGCTGAGCCAAACTGGCCAGGGCAAATAGCTTTTTCTTATCACTGGGAGCTTGATGGTAGTGCCAGGGGCATTTCCCTGTAAAGGAATTTTTTTTTGACAAGTTCAGCTGCCCTGTCCCTTTGGCACAGCTCTGGAACTCTTGTGACTCGTGATTTGATGTGCATGTCTACCAGTGGAGAGAGTGAATGGTTCTCAAATTCATTTCTTTTTTTAAAAAAAAAATTTTTCTTTATTGATTTTGGGGGGGGGGGCAGAGAGGGAGAGAGAGATAAAAACATCGATGAGAGAGAACATCAATTGGCCGCCTCCTGCATGCCCCGGGATTAGGCCCACAAGCTGGACATGTGCCCTGACTGGGAACTGAACTGGTGACCTCTTGGTGCATGCGTTGACTCTCAACTACTGAGCCACACTGGCCTGGCGGTTCTCAAATTCTTTAGTGAGTTGAGCCTGAGCCCTCACTCTGACTAGACATCCACTCATTTCTTCAATCCTGGGGCTTACATCCACCTGGAAAGATCAGGAGCTTCTCAGATCTTCAGACTTCCTATGTCCTCTTCAGGCTATGGCCATGCCTGAGCAGTTGTGGCTGCCATGGCTTTGGGGTGTCCCTAGAGCTGAGGAAGCTGGGGATGATAGGAGGCCCTGAGGCCCGTGTCCAGAGCTGGGCAGCCTCTGTCCTAGAGCCTCCCTTGCTTTTCTTTTTTAAAAAAATTTTTTTTAATCTTTATTGTTGAATGTATTACAGATGTTCCTCATTTTGCCCCCATTGACCCTCTCCTCTCTACTCCCGCCCCCCTCCTGCCTTTTCCCACACTATTGTCTGTGTCCACTGGTTATGCACATATACACATAAGTTCTTTGGTGTATTTCTTCCCACCCCCCAACTCCCCTTCCCTTTGAGGTTTGTCAGTCTAGCAACCAATTTGTACTTCTTAATCCCTTCACCTTTTTTCACCCATTCCCCCAGTCCCCCTCCCATCTGGCAACCAACAAAATGTTCTCTATATCTATGAGAATGTTTCTGTTCTGCTTGTTCATTGTTTGTAGATTCCATTGTCTGTAGCTATGTATTCATTGCCATTGTGTTTGTTCATATTTTTTCTTTTTCTTCAAGAAGGCCCTTCAACATTTCATATAATAATGGTTTGGTGGTGATGAACTACTTTAGCTTTTTCTTGTCTGGGAAAGTCTTTATATGGCCATCGATTCTAAATGACAGCTTTGCAGGATAGAGTAATCTTGGTTGTAGGTTCTGGCTTTTCATCACTGTGAATATTTCTTGCCACTCCCTTCTGGCCTGCAAAGTTTCTTTCTTTTTTTTTTTTTTTTTTGTGGTACGTGGCCCTAGCAGGAACCAAACCTGGGACTCTGGTCCGCAGGCCGACACTCAACCACTGAGCCAAACTGGCCAGGGCTGGCCTGCAAAGTTTCTTTTGAGAAATCGGCTGACAGCCTTATGGGAACTCCCTTGTAGGTAACTAACTGCTTTTCTCTTGCTGCTTTTAAGATTCTCTCTTTGTCTTGAACCTTCTTCATTTTGATGATGATGTGTCTTGGTGTAGGCCTCTTAGGGTTCATCTTGTTTGGGACTCTCTGTGCTTCCCGGACTTGTATGTCTGTTTCCTTCACCAAGTTAGGGAAGTTTTCTGCCATTATTGTTTCAAATAGGTTTTCGATTTCTTGTCCTCTCTCTTCTCCTTCTGGCACCCCCAAGATGCAAATGTTGCCACGCTTGAAGTTGTCCCAGAGGCTCCTTGCACTATCCTCATTTTTTTGGATTGTTTTTTCTTTTTGCCGTTCTGATTGGGTGTTTTTTGCTTCCTTATGTTCCAAATCGATGGTTTGCTTCTTGGCTTTACCTACTCTACTATTGAATCTGTGTAAATTACTCTTTATTTCAGTTAGTGCCTCATTCATTTCTGCCTGTGCATCCTTCATTTCTGACTGGTCCTTTTTTATGCTCTTGAGGCCATCACTAAGTTCGCTGAGGTTCTCACTAAGTTCATTGAGCATCCTTATAAGCAGCATTTTGAACTCAGCATCTGTTAGGTTGCTTATCTCCATTTTGCTTAGTTTTTTTCCTGGAGTTTTGTTCTGTTCTTTCATTTGGTACCTGTTTCTTTGTCTACTCATTTTGGCTGCCTCCCTGTGTTTGTTTCTATGTATTATTTAAGGAGAGGTATGGGGCTAGGTGAAACCAGATGCTGCGTGTTTGAAAGAATTTAGGGCCCTTGCGGGTTTGCCTCAGCGGTTAGAGCGTCGGCCTGAGAGACCTGGGTTCAGTTCCCGCTAAGGGCGTACCTTCGTTGCAGTTTGTCCCTGGCCCTGGTTGGTCATGCAGGTGGCAGCCACTCGATGTGTCCCTTTTACATCGATGTTTCTCTCTCTCTCTCTCTTCCTCTCTCTCCCTCCCACTCTATGTGAAGAAAGAATGTCCTTGGGTGAGGATTAAAAAAAAAAGAATTTAGAAAAACCTGAAGGAGGATCCAAGACAGGCCAATCCTAAGGTAAAGCAACTGGCAACAGCTTGGGTGGGCCTGAAGGTTGGGAGTGGCGGAGCCTCAGGGAATCACCAGGGCGGGGCTACCAGTATGAGCCAGGTTGCTGGAGTCCCAGATATGGCGGCTGTCTGCTTCCCCAGGGAAGGGTTCACCAAAGGAACAAAGGCCTCTGACAGCACGTTTGTCCCAGAGAAAGCCTCTTCTCCAGCCCTCGCTCCAGTGCCAAACAGCTCAGTTCTTCCCTGTATGTTTCTGGTGCCTCTCAAGCTGCCTCCCCTCCAAGCTTAGAGGGAGTGAGTCCAATAAGTTCATGCGCGGGCCCTTTAAGAGGAGCTGCCTAGGGCCCTGGCCGGTTTGGCTCAGCGGTTGGAGAGTGGGCCTGCAGACCAGAGAGTCCCAGGTTTGGTTCCCGCTAGGGGCATGTACCAAAAAAATAAAATAAATAAAATAAAAGAGGAGCTGCCTAGAGCTCCAGCAACCGCAGCCTCCCTGAGCCTCAGTTCCCGCTGGTTTTTCCAGCCAGAAGTTATGGGGACTTCTTTTCCTGGCACTGGAACTCTGAGCTGAGTGCCTGGTGTGGGATGGGGTTCCCTCAGCCCTCAGGGAGGACCTTCCCAGCCAAGGTATCCTCCTAATTTTTATCCGCCACATGGGGGTGTGGTGCCAGCCCGTCGCGCTTCCTCCCCTCCTACCAGTCTCCATGCGGCTTCTTCTTTAATTTCATAGTTGTAGGACTTTTATTCAGCTTGATTTCAGGTGGTTCTGAAACATGGTTGTTCTGTAGTTTAGTTGTAACTTTGATGTGGTTGTGGGAGGACATGATAGCGTGTTTACATACACCGCCATCTTGTCCCGAGCCTTCGTTGCTTGATGCTGCAGCTGTCATCCCCCTGGTTCTGGGTGTCTTGTTGGGCAGATTGGTGACCACCAGTCTCTCTAGTAGCCTGGGTCAACCAGAGGCAAAGGGGGCTTGTTTCAGCCCAGGTCAGCTGTCTAGCTCTTTTGGCCAGCTGGTAAGTCTGTAGCAGAGAAGACATGTTCAATTGCGCTGAGCTTGCTCACTGGGTGAAAGGTGCTGTTATCATTCCTGCTTAGCTTGACCCATGGCAGGTCTTCAAGAGTGTTTGTTGTCCTGCCCGGCTGGAGTGGCTCATTTGATTGAGTGTCATCTTGTGCACTGAAAGTTTGCCAGTTCGATTCCTGGTCAGGGCACATACCTGGGTTGTGGGTTTGATCCCTAGTTGGGGCACATATGGAAGGCAACCGATCGATGTTTGTCTCTCGCATCAATGGTTCTCTTTCTCCCTCCCTTCCTCCCTAAGCATGTTCTTGGGTGAGGTTAAAAGAAAAAAAAATGTTTGTTGTCCTGGAGAAAGGGAATGGCTTTCAAGCATAGGCAGGGCTGTTTCTGGTCCAGTCAGGTGTTTTCTGTCCCCAGTAAGCTGAATCAAGGCCACTGGAGCTTATCTACATATCCCTTCTTTGTCCTGAGTGTGCCATGGCACTGAAGACTTAGGCCTTGTGGTATCAGAAAAGTGTAGAGGCCAAGGAGTTAGAGGGGGTTCTGGAGGGTTGGGGCACTCCAACATGCACACTCTCCGGCGTTCCCCAGTCAGGCGGGCTTCTACTGGGTACCCTGGGCAGTCAGTTGTCTTGTCTTCCAGAGCCTGCACTTACCAGTTTATGAGGTTGTGGTAACAGCTGCACCTCACGCTTGTATAGCTCAGTGAAGTGACGAGTAACACATGTGAACATATTTAGTAGGTAGTACTGTACTTTACCCATGTAGGGGAAATTGGAAACAGGCAATTTAAGATTTGGGAAGGGAAGGTACCTACTGTAGTTATAAGGAATAGAAGAATCTCACCCTGTCCTGGAGCTCTTCCTGCCACACCAGGATTTGTCTCGTTCTCCCTCTATGCCTTAGAAGATGCTTGGCAGCAGATCCTCTATGGTTAACTATGGTGGCTGAAGCAGGAGGGGCTCCTGCATATCTGGACTTCAGACAGGTGGTCCAGTAGGGTATGCTCTTGATTGAGCTCTATACCACCAATTAGAGGATTAGATGGCCAGGACGGAGATGGCTCTTCTAATGGAGTCCCACTACCTTGGCTGCAAGCACACCTCGGTGCCCCCTGGGATCCCCTTTCCATGCATCAGAGCAAACCTCAGGCCTCAGAGCCTGCCTGGGCAGCAGATGGATTCATGTCGGTTCTTCTTCCAGGCTGTGCAGTATGAAAATCACTACACCAACACCAAGTACTGCTTGTGCCAGATGCTACGAGAACAGTTGGAGTCGCCCCAGGGAAAATTGCTCCATGCTGCCCAGTCTTCCAGGGAAATTTGGTGAGACGGGTAATGGGCTGTCAATCTGTCCTTGCAGACATTGCCCAGGCTTGACCCTGAGTCTTAAGCTGACTCTACCAGAGGACCAGGGACACAGCTTCTGGAGGTGGATGTGCAGTAGCAGGGTGTGCCCTAGGGGTAATTGGAGACAGGCAATTTAAGATTTGGGAAGGGAATGTACCTACTGTAGTTATAAGGAATAGAAGAATCTCCTCATTCTGGGCTTGTGGTGTTGGTTTGGTCCCTGTACCACCTAACTTCATCAGCTTGACCCAGGTGTCTTGTGAGCTCAAGAGTATAATTTTCATGAGTATAACTCTGTAGCTCTGGGTAGTACCTCAATTTACATGAGGCCTAACTACCTGTGGCTGGGGCAGGAAGTAGGGAACCACTCAATGGTCAGGCCTCCATCTCTTCCTCCCATAGGCCCACATGAGGATGAGGCTATGCATGCTGTGTAGGTCAGCTTACTCACTGCTGGCTGGGACACCTGCCTGTATGCTTTTTCTTGGGAGAGAGGCTAGACTCAGATGATGGTGACCTTTAGAACCTTTTCCACTCAGCCCTGCCTGCCCTCTGGTGTCCACCCTCATGGGCCCACATTCACTGTCTATCTGCCAGTCCAGACTGATCCCAGGGGTGGGTAGAAGGTACCTGGGGGTGTTTTGGTGTATACAGAGGGACATTTCTCAGTGGTGGGGCCCTGGGCTCCTGCAGTAGTACCCTGGATGCTGGCTCTACTAAGGGGCTTGCCCCACTCTACTTGTCTTTCCATAGTGAGGCCTTTGGCCTTGGTGCCTTCTATGAAGAGACCACACGAGAACTGGACTCCCGGCGGGCCGAGCTCTTAGCCAGGACTCCAGAGGAGGCAGGGGAGCCAGTTGAAGATACCTCTAGTGTTATTAAGATGGCTGTCAAATTTGACCGGTAGGTCTTCAGCTGGCCTCAGCTTGGGCCAGGGCCGGTGCCCTTGCTCTGACCAGGTTGGCAAGCTGGCTGCTGTATATGACTAGCAACAAGCTAACTACAGGTCTCTTTGGTTAGAACACTTGTTCTCAATTTTCAGCCACCCAAAGAAGGCACTTTGGAAAAGATAGTCCCTGAAAGCCCAGACAGCATTGTCAGGGTTGTGCATGTTGTCCCAAGGGTGATTGGACTCTACCTTTTCCCTGACCCACCCTTCCTACAACTCAGGTGAGAGGACTTGTCTCCTATTCCTGAAAGTCTGTGCTTTTCCCTAGCCCTTAGGAACTAGCTGCCTACAGGCAGTTCCCCAGTAGCAGTGGGACCCTAGCTCTTATCTGGCAATTCCTGCCCATACCCCCTGTCCCTCACCAGCCCTGTGGTGTCCTCTCTAGGCAGAAGTAGCCTCAGGGCAGTTATTGCCTCAGACTGTGACTCAACTTTGATTGGGTCCCTCATCCTTGTCCTCTGCAATCTGGTATCTAAGCCCTTCTCAGGTTCCCAGGCCCAGACCAGGAGCCAGTCTTGTCTATCAAGGGCTTGGGGGAAGGAGTATAGGGACAGCTGTTGGGCAGTCATATCCTTGGAGAGCTCCTGGTAAAAAGTTGGAACATGGTGCGGATTGACTCTGAAACCAGAGTCCACCATGTCTAAAGCAGCAGCAGATCATTTTGACATTCAACGGACATAATTAGAGTGTACTAAGCTATATCCCTGAGACCTTTGTATGGCCACTTGTGTTCCCCACTCCTACCCAATCCCTCCGGTCTTGTCTTGAGAGGCAAACTGGACCTTTCTCCCTGGCTGTCAAAGGCTGTTTTCCAGGCTGGAGTTCAGAGTGCTGCGAGTTCTACTTCCCACCTCAACTCCCTAAGCATGCTGAAGCCCATCTTCCCTTTAGGCAGAATGAAGGCCCCCAACTTGCTGGTGGAACAAAAATGGGAGGTCAGGGGAATAGGTATAGGAGTATTTTTTTCCAGGATGTTTTTATTGATTTTTTAGAGAGAGAGGAAGGGAGAGATCGAAACATGGATGTGAGAGAGAAACATCAATTGGCTGCCTCCTGCATGCCCCCTACTGGGGATTAAGCCCACAACCTGGGCATATGCTTTGACTGGGAATCAAATCTGCTACCTCTTGGTGTATGGGTTGATGCTCAACCACTGAGCCACACGGGCTGGGCAAGGTACAGGAATCTTAAAGGCAGCAGCTTGATGTCTCAGTTCCTGCAGCTCCTTCCAGGAATTGAGCAGGGCCACTGCTGAGAAATGGAGTGGTGATGGTGGATAGGCCCTGACTCCTTCCCCTCCTTTCCCTAGGAGAGCATACTTACCCCAGATCACCCCCAAGATGTGCCTGCTAGAATGGTGCCGAAGGGAGAATTTGGCACAACCCGTATATGAAACGGTGAGTTCCTGGCTCTGGCCTGCCCTTCATCTAACCCTACAGCATTCCCACAGCTGGTGCCATCACCCCCAGCACACCTACAACTTGTACCCTGGGCTCCAGACTGCTTTTCTGGAGACTGGCTTCGCCCTTTGTAGATACACAGTGGTTATTCGTGGTTGGACAAGTTGCTGATAGCTTCTTCCCTTTGACAGTGGGCCTGTTGTCTAATTCTGATTACTCTCATAAAACTGAACTAGAGACCTAAGGGACTGCTTGGCCCAGTCCCTACCATTGGTGTTGCTCAGGGAGGCGAGATGTCTCTGGAAAGGGCCAGGTGGCTTAGGAAGGATTCTAAAACCTGAAAATTAGACAGACACATTTTTGGACCAGGCCTCAGCTAATAGGGCATAGAACTGGGTCCCAGATATGGGGCCCTCAGTGAAAACGTTGAGACAGTATAGCTTCACTTCCTTTGGTCCCTATAGCCATGTTTTGTTTAGATGGCTCTCTCTCTTCTTGACTGGCCTTCTGAACTCCAAACTTGTTCCTTCTGGGCCTTGTGTCCTTCTCTGCCAGACTGACATTTCCAAAGTGAATCTGAGCTCTGTTTCCCTTGCTCAGGTCCTCATCAGCTCAGCATGAGACCTCCCCACATCTTTCTGCTTCAGGTCTCATCCACTCAGCTCTCTATCCTGCCACATCACCTGGTCTCTCTGCCAGATAGATCTTCTTTGCTCCAGTCCTTGTCCCCTTTTACCCTTTTGCCATCTGGTAAACTACTTACTTTGGGGAGCTATCCATCCAGATGTCAGTAGGAGGAGACTCCATAGTCATGCATAGTAAGGGCTGTGATGGCCCTTTGCTTAGGTGCATGACAAAACTCCTGACACACTGCGGTGTCATTGTGTATCCACCTTTCTTCCCTGGAAAGTGCACTAGACACTTCTGCTGGGGAGAAAAATGTGGAACAGGTAGCTTTCATTTAACTGAGGTGGTTAGGGCTTCCTTTTCTCTTCACTCGACATGACCCTGGCAGGTGGGTCTCCAGGGCTTATTCATCTTGTCCTCATGCAGCCATCTTTGTTTTCTTTCCTCTCTCTGTACCAGGTTCAGCGCCCCCTGGATCGCCTCTTCTGCTCTGTTGTCACTGTTGCTGAGCAAAAGTACCAGTCCACCTTGTGGTGAGTTTCCTCATCAGTGGGCATGAGGCTTGGGGTGGAGGGCCTGATTGTAGCATTGGCCTGGGAGGGTTGGGGGTGGTAGTGTACCTGCGTAGTGGCATCCCTGGGTGATGACCCCATGTTCAATTTTATCAGAATCTATGACAAGGATATTGAGAATTAGGCCCCCCCAGCCTCTAGTCTTGTCACCAGTGTGCCTGCCTACCTGCCTTATTGCCCCATGCCTCATCTGCCCAGGGACAAGTCCAAGAAACTGGCGGAGCAGGCTGCAGCCATCGTCTGTCTGAGGAGCCAGGGCCTCCCTGAGGGTCGGCTGGGTGAGGAGAGCCCTTCCTTTCACAAACGAAAGAGGGAGGTACCTGACCAAGACTCTGGGGGCCCCAGAGCTCAGGAGCCAGCAATACCTGGGGAGCTGTGCAAGAAGCCCTTTGTAACCGTGGGAAGTGGTAAAGAGAGCCCCCTGGAAGGCTGGTGACCACTGTCTCTACCCTGGTGAGCCTGGCTGTAAGATGACCGTGGGTACAGAGCATGAACCAGATGCTATTGGACAGTTTGCTGCCCCTGTCTGACAGGTGTTAAGAGATTCTGGCCTGGGCCATCAGCCTGCAGCATGGGCCAAGGGGTGCCCAGAGTGCCCATCTCTCTTGGTAGGTCTGAGTAGCAGGGCCAAGTTCCCAGTTATCTCAGTATTTTCTATGAAAACGGGGGCTTTTTCAGGTGGCACCTCCCTAACCTGACATTGGTACAGTGCAATAAAGACCTTCTACCCTTACCTATGGCTGGCTGCTTCAGCTTTGGGCACCTTCACACACGGACTGATGGATGAGCTGACATAATTATTTTACTTCCACCCTCTGTGAAGAGCTGGAGCTTCCTAAAAAACTTATCTCCTAGCTATCTTTATGTGTCTGGGTGGAAGTGGGGGGCAAGTTAGCACTTTTAGGGCTCAATGAATTTGAGCTGAACCAGGAAGGTCCAAGAAGCCCATTCTACTGATGGTAAACCTGAGGCAATGGCCATCAGTTGGCTTTACTGATGAGAAGATATGGAAGCTGGGGAAATGGTTTGGGTTATTTGGACCAGCTCAGGCAAGTTGGGAATGCTGGGTCTGAGCTCCAGCTGTCAAGCACACACCTATGCGGTGCCTGATCTGGGCAGAGGACACGAGATTGCTGATTACAACAATTTGGGGCCCTTGTGATTGCCTACCCATACCACTGCCCCACCCCCCCCACCCCCCCATCCCTTTTGAGCGGGAAGGAAGTGGCAGATTCTCTTTAATTTCCTCCTAGCAGTGAGAAGCAAACAAACAGCTACCACACTGAACTCCTTGGGGCCCCCCCCCCACCCCCGCACTTACTGGGAGGGGCATTTTGACCAAAGGTCCCTGCTAAGTGCCACTATTGCTTCCTCAGCTGTAAACACACTGTTTCTCCTCCCCTTTTCCAAGCTCTGTGAGAAGGGGGGATTCCCTTCTGGGCCAAGGCCATGCTCCCCTGACCTCCCTAGGGTCAGGCTCCTGTGCCAGCCAGCAGCCTCTGGCCCTTCCAGCCTGAGTCAAGGGTTGGGCCAGTGAGGCCTCTGTCTCAGTCCCAGAGCTACCCCTCCCTGCACCCATATTACTCTTCTGTGTACAGATAAGGATACTGTACTACCAGTGGCCTCCCAGAGTCTGTGGCTATCTAACCTTGGGCAAGTTACTTCTAGTCCTTTGAGGCCAAGGGTCCTCCTCCAAGAGTGGGATTAGCTGTTCCCTGCCTGCTTGAAGCTGGTTGGAGGATAAATAGGCTAGCCCTGTGATATGCACACGATGTGGCTAATGGGATCACTCCATGCTGATCCTGCCCTAACTGCCCAGACCAGTGCTCCCAGAAAAGGGACCCCAACCAGGAGAGTGACTGAGGCTTGGTCTGGTCTCAGCCCTCAAGCTTTAGGTACCATTTCTGATTTTTCTTACTAAAATTGTTTCAATAAAAATGCTCTATTTGCCTTTCCTTATATCTTGACTGGAATAGGGCAGACAGTGAGACCCCAGTTAATACCCTCTACCCACCCCCCAGGCATCCTGAGCCAAGGGAGGACCCTTGTGGACCCAGGTACTCAGTCATAAGATCCACTTCCCCAGTGGGGTTGGGCTTTGTCCTCCAGCCTCTTTGCCCACCATTGTGGTTTCCTGGGGAAACCCCTCTCTGGCAGGGTCAGATTCATTTCTGGGTTATGGAGAAGGAGAGGCAGGGGTAGAAGTCAGCTTAAGAAAGAGGTTGGAGTGTGGGGACTTTGAGGGTCCAGGAAAAGTATTGGGGAGAGGGTCATTCACAGTGGAGCAGGTAGGTAGGGGCTAGTGTATATACCATGACTAAGGATGTCTGACAAAGATCCTGGTTGAATATGTTGACCCACAAATGGTCTCACTTTAGCATACCTCAGTGATGCCTGCCCTGATCTCAGAGTGACCTGCCTAAGGCCTGGGACTGAATGGAGGGCCCTGTCAGGTCTGAAAGCTCCATCCACTGTTCTCACCATGCCCATCTTAAACTGAGGCCACTTGGACACCCAAACTTCTCTTTGACCTAGTAGCCACAACACTTATCCATCCATTCCAGCCATCTTGATTGAGGACTTACTCTTAGCTCATCACATTTTGGGGATAAGTGGTTTTGATATGAACACGAGAAAGAGGGATGAGAGGGTGGCAGGTCTTCCAAAGACCACAGCAAGAAGACTGGACTTTGTGCAGATGAATGGGGAACCTGCAGCCCTGTACTCTTAGTGCCTTCCAGGTGTTACTCTTTTTTTTTTTTTTTATCCTCACCTGAGAGCACTCTTGCATTTATCTTCAGACAGAGTGGGAGGGAGAGAGGGAGGAAGAGAGAGAGGGAGAAACATCGATGTGAGAGAGACACATTGAGTGGCCGCCACCCACATGACCCCAACCAGAGCCGGGGATACACTACAACCAACGCATGTGCCCTTAGCAGGAACTGAACCCGGGACTCTCTGGTCCGCAGGCCAATGCTCTAACCACTGAGTCAAACTGGCTAGGGCCCAGGTGTCACTCTTGCTCAGAACTCTTCCATGGCTCTTCACTGCCCTCTGGATCAAGTCCAAACTCCTTAGCCTAGCATTTGAGGACAAAGTGCTGACCCTGTCTTCTCAGCACCCTGTGCTGACTTCAGCACCTAGTTTTCAAATGTAGACTGGAGCTGCTCAAGGACAGTCCTTGTGTCCCCGATGGCCAGCCTTGTCATGTGGGTGGCGAGGAGGCACAGAAGTACCAAACAAGAGCTTAGAGGGAGGGGATGTGTGTCACGGAGAGGAAGTTTTCTAAACTCTGACTTTCCTCCAAGTCTCCTGTTTCTTCTGTGGAACAAGGGGGGCTGGACTGGGCTAAACTGTATCATCCCATGGCTCAGAGGCCATAGGAGAGCCTTCAATAATGGGGGCTCAGAGCCAGGCCTGGGACAGCTGATGAAATAGATGGCTTTATCTAAATCTCAGGTCTGGCAGGCATTCACACAGGAGGGAGAGGGGGCGGGGCATTCAGGGACCCACACAGCTGGCCCAGTCTAGGGTTCTATGTACTGCACTGGTCCCCTGAGCTTCCCAGTTTCCCAGGGCTCTCAGAAGGCTGGAGGTGAGTCAGATGGCCTCCTGCCATCTACGAAAGCTTTGGAGCTGGCCTGAGGAAGAGCTCATGGAGGAGGTCCTGGCCCTAATTAAGAAAAAGGGATGGAGAGAGTTTGAGTATTGCTGTGTGTATGTGGTAGTGGGGGCCTGTTACAGCCTGCAGAGTTTCCAGCCATTGCTGCCTTTCTTACAAAAGTGACATTCTTCCTAAAGTGGATGCCCACCACTGCCCCAGCCCTTATCACTCCATAATAGGGTTCTCAGTTTCCTCCAGACCAAAAACCTTCCCCAAGACCTGACCCCTTCTAAGTTTTCTTCAATTTTAGTGGCTGAGAACACTACTGCATCACCTAGCGTTTGATGAATGCATTTTTCAAGTCATCTGCAGCTTCTGTGGTTCCTTCCTATGGATCGAGCTGACAGGTCTAGTTTCCCATTGCTTTTCCTCTGGCCTGGCAGGCTGAGTCTGTGGTTTAGGTAAAGTCCTATCTGGAGGGCAAAGAAGCTAGATAATGGTCCTTTTTCTCCAACCATATGATAACCTGGGAGTTATGTGTGTGGGAGCAGGGAGACACATCTTGAAATTGTATTGTTTTATGGGGAGGGGGAGGTAAGTTGGACAACCTTCTGGGATCTTTTTATACCAGGGTCATGTTATATATGGTACTAATGGGCAGGCCAACCATCTGCCTGGGGCAGGCTTTGCAAAGTTAGTGTGGCTTTTGGCCTCTAAGTTCTACACTCAGCCCCTCAAACTTGGAGGACAGCTTCTTTGGAGGATGTCACACCCAATTAATGCCATTTGCTCCCTCTCCTTGACCACTGTTATCCTCTCCTGCCTCCAACCTCCCCCACTCCCAATTCAGTTGTTTTCCATTCAGTATTCTGAACATGGAAGTACCCTACTCAAAACCCTTCTGTGGATCCCTAATGCCCTCAGGATAAAGTCCAGATACCTTGTAGTGGCTTGCATCACTGTCCATTCATCTGGCCTTACCTTTGACTTCTCACTGTACTTTTGGTCTCCAAGTCTTTAGAAATCTGTTCTCTGTCTGGAACCGTCTTCCTCACCGCTTGCCCATCTCTCTAATTCGTATTTAGCCCTGTGGAGAATTTGTAGCCAGCAGGATTATGAACCTTCTCTGAGCTCCTGGCACAGCCCTACCTAATCTCTTAGCACAGTGATTATGGAATTGCTGTCCTCTCCCTGACCCCTGAAGGGAGACTGATTTATTTCTGTGTCCCCACTAGGTTCCTCCACAACGCCTTTGTGGAGATGCTGCTCCCTGTGGGGCCTGGAGCTAGGGGAGTTGGTCACCTCCTCCTCTTCCAGCTCCCCGTCCACCCTGCGCCTCGGAGCAGCTGTAAATAAACAAGCCAGGTTCAGCTTCTTCAGGCATGGCCTCCATTCTGGGCCCCGGAGGAGGCGTCTTAGAACATCTCAGGGGAAGACTGGCCTGCTGGGGAGGGGCCAAGAGTGTAAACGGTTCTTTAGACAGTGTGTCACTTCCCCACTAACAGTCATTTGGTTTGGGTAGCAGGATCCCTCCCGCTTTCTTGTGTACTGGGAGGCAGAGGTCACGATTCCGAGAATGTCGCGAGTTCACAAGGGGCTTTCCAACTTCCAGCAGGGGACAGACCCTGCCTGTCGGGCTTTGCTTCGGCTTTGAAGGCGCAGCCTGTCCTCAACGGAGCAGCTGCTAGACCAGCTCATAGAGGCAGATAAGGCATAACCAGTGAAGTGAAGAACCCGCCCCTACAGCGACACAGAGCTCAGACTCAGGACTCCAAGGGCAGTCCAGGTCTCTGGCTCCGCCCCACCCAGGCTCGGTCTGCTCCCTGCCCTCCTGAGACCCCGCCATTAGGCTTGGGTTTGGGTATGAGGGTTTGAATACCGTCCACATAATCTTCCGGGGCCCTGATATCTTTCCCAAACCTAGTCAAGTGGAGTAATACTGCAGCAGCTCCTCACGGAACTCATAACCTCAGGGCTCTGGTACCCCTTCCTCAACATGAGCCCCGCCCAATAAGGAAAGGGATTTCTCCGATTGGCCGGTGTTGGGCTCCTTAATCCGATTAGAGAGGGCTATCGACTTGACAACCTGTTTTACAAATTAAGAAGGGAATAGAGGCCAAACTACAACTCCCAAGAGGTAGCGGGGCGCTCCATATTCACGTGACTTCCTTCTCCGGGGGACAGGGTCATGCGGTAGGCCAGTGAGAGGGCGGGGCCATCGGGTTAGCCCGCGGCCCCGGTGGCCTATGGGGCGGTCTGGTCAGACGGGCGTGCAGTTGGGGGCGGGGGCGGGGGCGGGCGCGCGCCGGCGGCTGCGACGGCTGTTGCGGGGCGGGGAATGTCGTCTACGGTGACTGGCGGTTTAGGCACCAACTGCTGGCAGTGGCGGTAGCTCCTGGTGCAGCTCGGCGCACGGCCAGCGCTAGAGCTCGGAACCGAACGCTGGGCGTCGCGTTCACCTCCCGGAAAGTTTGTCGCGGAGCCTCTATCTTCTGGCCGGCGCGGCCCGGCATGAAGCGGCGCTGAGGAGACGCCGCCGCCGCCGTAGCCGCCGCCGCCGCCTGAGGAGGAGCCACAGCACCCTGGGCCACGCCGATGACTACTGCAAACTGTGGCGCCCACGACGAGCTCGACTTCAAACTCGTCTTTGGCGAGGAAGGGACGCCGGCGCCGCCGCCCCTGGGCTCGCGGCCTGCAGGTGGGTGCCGGGCCGGGCGGGACCGAGGAGCTTTCTCTCCTTTTCTCGCTCGCACGAGCGCCTTGCCCTCTCTCTGGTGCTTTGGTCGTTCGGTGTCTGGTAACACCGTGTGTGCGTGCGTGTGGTGAGTGTAGAGCGGGTTTAAATCGCTGAGGAGGCGTGTGGCCGCAGCGACGTGGAAGTGGCCGCGGGCTTGGCTGGAAGCGAACGAACTAGTGGGGAACTCGACTCTGGGACGCCTGTTGGACTCCTGGGGTTTGGAGGCCGAGGGTCGGGGCCACTGCCCAAGTGGCGTCTGGTTGTCGCTGCTTTGCTAGCGTGGTGCGGAGAAAAATGTCCCTGTGAAGTGTAAGCGCACTTGGTTTTTCATCTGTTCTTAGTCTTTTAAAGTCTTTATTTGAAAGATGCACATTCTTGAAGTATAGGAGCTCTCTAAAATTCGTGCACATGTCTTGTTAAATCTACTTTGCTGGGAGAGTAATGCTATGGTGTTAAGAGTTCCACTTTATTTCTAAGTGTAACATAACGGGACTTTCTGAAAACTAGGTTTCTTTTCTTGAGCAAAGTGTTTCAGAATATTAGAAGAAAGTGGGGTACTTTGTTCATAATTCTCGAAAGTTCTAGAAGTCAGTTTTTATTTTAAGAAAAAGCTTACCTAGGAAGATGGTTTAAAGGAGATCGTGAATTGGTAAGGTTGGGCACCATAATACATGTTCAGACCAATCAGGAAATAGAAACAATGGCTGGGGACTTAAGAGCTCTCTTGTGACCTGGTTTGAAATACTGTGGTTCATTAAGTTCACTTTTCCTATACATGTCTAGGCGAACTTAAAAATTTTTTTTTTCCTTTATTGAATTTTGAGAGAGAGAAAGGGAGAGGGAGAGAGAGATAGAAACATCTATGAGAGAGTACCTGTCTATTGGTCGCCTCCTGCATGCCCCCAACTGGGGATTTGGCCCACAACCTGGACATGTGCCCTGACCAGCGACCTCTTGGTGCATGAGTCTACATTCAACCACTGAGCCACACTGGCGGGGCTCTAGGCGAACTTTAAAAGGGAGATGGTAAGACTAATTAATCCCTATGTATTCTTTCTGGGTATTAGGTGAATTACTTCATGTTAATATTGATGTTCAACAGACTGTTTTGTAGAGTTGCATTGAAAAACATACTTGAATGTGAGGCATGAGGATTCTCTGGGCCAAATTTGTCTTAACAGTCCTTTTAGTCTTTATAGGTTAGATGTCTTTTTCAACATTATAAATAATTTACAATAGTTATTTGTTGGCTGTGTTTATTTTAATTCCACTGACATTATTTGAACACTTATTATGTCGAAGGTACTGTTAGGTATTTTGTAGTGTTAGATGCAAAGAGGACTGAGGCCCCTCAAGGAACTTGGGAAGTGGGATTGGGGGGCACATAACCCAAATAACTATGCTAGTAGGCACACTGAATGGTGGCTCATGTTATAAGAGGTAGAAAGGGGAAATGTTGCATTTGTGGAGAAGTCGGCATTGAATTGTACTTAGATTATTGGGATTTAACAAAATAAAAACAACTAAGTTGAGTATTTTCATTGTAAGGAACATATACAATTGATGATGTCGGGAAACTTATTGGGCACAAACTTGAGAAGAACACATTGTATACCAAAATATATGATCAATAAAGATGTTAGCCAGGCTAGGCTCCAGGTAAAAAAGCAAACAAAGGAAGGCAGCCCAGAGTCAGCTGAGGTTTTGGGATATAGATAAGTCACAAAGCTGGGTTTATTTGCAATTATCAGGATTGATCAGCCCAGGGTCTATTTCTAAGGCTCTTCTCTACTCGGCTCTCTCCAGCCCCTCACCCCATCCCAATTTTAAAAAAAAAAGATGTTAACCAACCATATGGGTAATTAAGGAGTATCATCATGTAAATAGGAATTGTATGTACATACAAAATATTGAATAACATTTAAAACCCATAAAAACAGCTTTTGAAAAAACATCAGTGTGAGAGCCCCCAAAAGCCCCCAAAACCATTTTGATATTAATATGGGTCTTTAGAAGGAGTTAAGGTTTGGAACTTCTATTATAACTGAAATTCCCAAAGTTAAACTTGAACAGTTTTATTTGTGACAAAAAAAGGTCACTTAAAAATATTACAGTAGCTATCTTTTATATTTTTTTCATTAAGGTGAAATATATGACATAAACCATTTTAAAGGGAATGATTCAGTGGCATTTTGTGCATTCGCAGTGTTGTGCAATCACTACTTCTATCTAGATCCAAAATATTTTCATCAACCCAAAAGGAAACCCTGAACCTATTAAGCAGTTGTTCCTCATTCTTCCTAACCCCTTCCCAGTTCCTGGTAGCCTAGTCCCTAATCTGGGATCTGTCTCTGGATTTACCTATTCTGGACATTTTGTATAAATGGAATCATATGTGACCTTTTGTGTCTGGCTTCTTTCACTTAGCATAGTGTTTTTTGTGGTTCAACCATGTTGTAGAACAATATGAGTACTTCATTCCTTTCTATGGCTAAATAATATTCTATTGTATATATTCCCTAATTTGTTTATCCATTGATGGTGAATAGTGCTGCTGTGAATACTGGCAGCTAATTTTTAAATTCTCTTTAGAAAGATATATATTCAGAGCTAAGGTTTAAAAATTATTGGTTCACAAAATTAGTTTTCATTTTAATAAGCATAATTACGTGTGTAGTTTGAAGAAACTAAGTGGATTGACTGACATACTTTTAGGAAGATAATATGCAGTAAAGTGGGCCATGAGAATAAGATTACTTGGTAGAATTCAGGTCAGTATTATGTTATATCAGTGTTTTTACTTTTGAATTCTTTCCTGTAGTGCCTTTAATACAATATACACCCAATATTTGTTGAATTAATGAATAAATACTTAAATTTTGAGTCAGTGCTCACTTTTTCTTTTTTGTGTGTGTGGTAGAGGATGTTGATGAGACTTGTTCTTTGGCTTTTATTGGTCAGATCCATAAGACAGAAGATCTTGGCAATTATAGGCTACAGGTTTTCTATCTCTAAAGATTTTTTTGTTTTATTTATTTTTTGTCAATCCTCACTCGAGAATATTTTCCCATTGATTTTTAGGTAGAGTGGAAGGGAGGGAGGGCGAGGGGGAGAGAGGGAAACATTGATGTGAGAGACATATCCATTGACTGCGTCCCACTCAACCTCAAAGGGGTGTATGGGAGGGTGTCATCTGCAACCCAGGTATGTGCCCTTGACCCAGAATTGAACCCAGGACTTTTCTGTCCACAGGCCAATGCTCTAATCGCTGATCCAAACCAGCCAGGGCCATTTCTAAAGTTTTGAGAGAACTTGTATTACATCTAATTTCCATTCAGAAGAATTTTGAAAAACATTTAGGGAGATGGGTAGAGGATGGAGACTGAGGATAAGTCAAAGGGCTGAATTTAGTGAATGTCCTAAGCAAGCTTGTTAAAGTACAAATTAGATGATTTGATACTTGATCATGTCAGTTATGTTTGTGACCGACTTTTAAAGATTTTTGCTTACTGAGGTGTTTTGAGATTTTTTCCATTAAAGAACATTTAAGACCCTAGAGTCTTTAGCTTTTGTTTGTTTTATACTGTGAGGACAGTGCTAGCTTTGATTTTCACAGTTAAAAATGAATCAGACTAGTTTGTTTAAATTTTCTTTTACTTAATATCTAGCTTCAAAATGAAGATATACCTCAATAATAGAGAATTTAAAATTGTCAAGTGTTTAATGTAGTTTATTAACATTATTTGCCATTATAAAGGGCAGCTTCTGGTGCTCTATTTTAGTGTACTGATTATATATCTCTAAATTAGTTTGATGTTATAATAATATTTACTTTTCAAAATCAAAATTTTATTCTCAGGGTTTATTCATTACTAAATATTGACTTTCTAGTCCTGAATGAAAGTCATTGGGAGGAGTGTGTGTTATACTGTGTGTAGTATGTTCTCTACAATCACTTTTTATTTTTTACTTATTTAAAAAAAAATTATTTTTCCTTTATTGATTTTAGGGAGAGGAAGTGAGAAGGAGAGAGAGAGAGAAACATCGAGGAGAGAGAACATCGATTGGCCACCTCTTGCATTCCCCCACTGGAGATCAGGCCCACAACCTGGGCATGTGTCCTGACCAGGAATTGAACCAGTGACCTTTGGTGCATGGGTCGGTGCTCAGCCACTGAGCCACACTGGCTGGACTCTGCTGTCACTTTTTAAAAGGGGAAAAATATCTTAGCTATAATATATATTTTTGTAAGAAATATCTTATCTTTTTGATATCATGTGTAATTTTGTCAGATACCACTTTAATACCTAACTTAAAAATTTTTTTTTTTAGTTCTCACCCGAGGATATTGTTTCATTTATTTTCAGACAGAATGGGAGAGAGAGAGAAAGAAACATCGAAGCAAAAGAGACATATCAACTGGTTGCCTCCCTCATGACCCAGACTGGTGCTGGGGACCAAACCACAACCGAGGTATACACCCCTGACTGGAACTGAACCTGTGACTTTTTGGTCTTGGGGCCGAAGCTCCCACTGCTGAGCCAAACCAGTCCAGGCTACCCAACTTTTTCATGTGTAAAGTTGAGGAGTTTTTCCTAGGTCATTGTCTAGTCTTTAATATGTTTTTATTGATTTTTTTTCTCTTTAATGATTTTTAGAGAGGGAGAGGAAGGGAGAGGAAGAGAGAGATATAAACATCGATTGGCCACCTCCTGCATGACCCCACTGGGGATTTGGCCCACAACCTTGGGCATATGCCCTGACCAGGAATCAAACCAGTGACCTCTTGATGCATGGGCCAATGCTCAACCAGTTAGCCACACCAGCTGGGTTCATTGTCTAGTCTTTAATTTGTAGTGTTTTTACTTTGTTTAGTGCTTGGAAATCTGATTCATGGGTTCTTTGTAACCTACTGTCCTGAGTTTTATTTTCTCATTTTTCAGTTTTTATTGGTAATTTTACTCAACATTTTTGTTTATCTTGTGTTAAATGAGATAGTGTACTGTTTGTACTGGATTGATTGATTGATTGATTGATTGATTTAATCAGTCCTCACCCGAGGACATTTTTCCATTCTTCGTTCAGATCGAGTGGGAGGGAGAGAGAGGAAGAGAGAGGGAGAAACATCAACGTGAAAGGGACACATGGAGTGGCTGCCTCCCACACGACCAACCAAGGCCGGGGACAAACTGCAGCTGCAGTACGTGCCCTTAGCAGGAACCGAACCCAGGTCTCTCTGGACTGCAGGCCGATGCTCTAACTGCTGAGCCAAACCAGCCAGGGGTGATAGTGTACTGTTTAAAGCTCTTGGCACAGTGTCCTTGGTCCAGTGGTCATCGTTAAGTGGTGGTAGTTAACATTTCTTTGAAAAGCACATACAGCCCTGGCCGGTTTGGCTCAGCGGTTAGAGCGTCGGCCTGCGGTACGGAGAGACCCGGCTTCGGTTCCCGCTACGGGCATGTACCTCGGTTGCAGTTTGTCCCCGGCCCTGGTTGGTCGTGCGGGTGGCAGCCACTCGATGTGTCCCTTCACATCAATGTTTCTCTCTCTCTCTCTTCCTCTCTCTCCCTCCTGCTCTATCTGAACAAAAAATGGAAAAATGTCCTCGGGTGAGGATAAAAAAAAAATAAATAAAAAAAATAAAAAGCACATACAAAAAAACTGGTGTAGGTTATTTTTAACCTCCTCCTCTTTCTTTTTTTTTTTTTTTATCCTCACCCGAGGATATTTTTTCATTTTTTGTACAGATAGAGTGGGAGGGAGAGAGAGGAAGGGAGAGAGAGAGAAACATCGACGTGAAGGGACACATCGAGTGGCTGCCACCCGCACGACCAACCAGGGCCGGGGACAAACTGCAACCGAAGTACGTGCCCTTAGCGGGAACCGAACCCGGGTCTCTCCGGACCGCAGGCCGACGCTCTAACCGCTGAGCCAAACTGGCCAGGGCTTCTTTTTTTTTTTTTAAAATCATCCTCACCCGAGGACATTTTTCTATTTTTTTGTTTAGATAGAGTGGGAGGGAGAGAGAGAGAGGGAAACATCGATGTGAAAGGGACACATCGAGTGGTCGCCATCCACACGACCCAACCAGGGCCGGGGACAAACTGCATCCGAGGCACGTGCCCTTACCGGGAACCGAACCTGGGTCTCTCTGGACCGCAGGTCGACGCTCTAACCCCTGAGCCAAACCGGCCAGGGCTAACTTCCTCCTGTTTCCTAGACCCTTTTCTCTATGCTAAACTAACATATTGGAGAGCCAGTCATTTAAACCTTACTTAAATAAGTTGAAATATGTCAGACATTTTTAGTTTATTCTATTATTGTTTTCAATTTTGTCTCCTTTCTCACATATAAGTACTGATGGTCATTCACTTTTAATTATGTTTTTCTGCTTTCTTGAATAAAGTTGTTACTGACTCAATATGGTGAAAGATGGTTGATTTGCTAACCATACTAAGTATAATTGGATATTTAAATAAGCATGGAAAAAGGGAAGTTCCTTGTATGGCTTCCTGTAGAAAAATAATGGTGCGTTTGTATATCACATTAGGTACTGTGCAGAAGGATTTGGTTACTGCTGAACCTTACTTTCATACTATAGGTCAGCTTTTTCTTTATGTTTCTTTGACACTTTTTTGATAGAGGTAGAGAATGCTCCTGGGGGTATTAGCAGAATTTTGTGATTGAGATTAGTGAATAAATGTATTTTAGTGAGTATGGGGAAAAAAAATTCCATGTCATATTGTTTTTCTTTAAATATATATTTATTTATTTATTTATTTATCTTTAAGAGGGAGGAAGAAAGAAGGAGAGAGAGATAGAAACATTGATGAGAGAAACATCGATTGACTGCCTCCATTATGACCTTCACTGGGTATTGGGCCCAGAACCTGGGCATGTGCCATGACTGGGAATAGAACCGGTGACCTCTTGGTGCATGGGTTGATGCTCAACCAGTGAGCCACACCCACCAGGCTGTCTTATTGTTTTGTTAAGAGCATTGCTGTGCGTGTGTTTTCTTAGATTTCCCATCTGCTGATACAGAAGGAAAATTTTGGCAAATATTCTAAACTATTTGCTTAGGTAATAAATACTGTAATAGTTTTATTAGATGATGGAAATATTAAAACTTGGGTGTTATGTACCTGACCAAGAAATTGTGGGGGATCTAATAAGGCCTGTTTCTTAAGCATTTGTGGTCATTTAAGATATTATTTTAGGCTAAGTTGTAGAATCAAATTATCATGACTTGCGTTTCTGTGGCAACTAGTAAACTTTGCCTAAAATTTTATGTATCCCAAGCTCTGCTTTTGAGTTTTGCTCTTTTGTTTATTTTTTCAATGAAGTGTCATTATAAAAACATTTTTGGTAAGAAAATGTGGAATTCATTTTTCTTGAGAAAGTAATAAATAAAATACTGATATATAAAATGGAAATCTTTTAAGAGCATAGAATGAGTTGTGTTACTGATTGTGACATTGGATGTGTCCTCTACTTCTTAGTATTGAGTAATAGTTGATGATTCAATATGGTGGTATTTTATTTTAAATAAGAGGCGGGGCTGAGGAAGCCATAATACAGTGAAGTCAATTGCATTACTCTTAAGTGATAGGAAACCTGAGTAAATAGAGCCTCATTTGATAGTAAGCAGTAGTTTGCTTACAGTAGTAACATAAATAAAGGGAGGTGTTGTCTAAAGCTGTCCTGGTGGGTCAGGGGAGTAGACAGAGCAGCCTTGGCAGTAAGCCTGGCTTCTAAAACAAAATCCAAGTCATCGAATTTGCCCAGGCATGCCATATGAGGTTCAAGTAACAGTGGAATTTAAGAGGAGTGAGTTTGTTCAGGGAGGCTTAGAAGAGTCACAAGCAAGAGCAAGCTTTATTAACAGCCATAATTTTAACTCAAACATATAACATGTGTCTGCATATATTTCCCCATATCTGGTAATGTTTATATGATTGTATTGCATGACTTTCACCTGTTTACCTGACTTTGTTAAACTTTAGAAGAGAAGAACAGTTGGATCTGTAAGATTTGTAGTATGTTCCTGGCTGATTTGGCTCAACTGTTAGAGTATAGGCCTGTGGATCAAAGGGTCTCAAGTTCAATTATCAGTCAAGGGCCCCCACCAAAAAAGGAAAAATATTTTCAGGTGAGGATCCCCCCCCAAATTTGTGGTATGGTTTATGATTTATCTTTGAATTGATAACTGAAATTTAATAGTTGGGACAGTTCTAGTTCACATATTGGTATTCCTGTGTGTAAGAGAACTACATGTCTGTGACAGCCTGAAAACCGCACGTACACTGGAGAACTAACTTGAAGCCTTCATTTTTCTGACAAAAGGTAGTTTCAATGTCTTATGTTACAGAAGCAGGTGAGAGTTTTAATGTTTTAAAGTATTTTTGCAGTGTCTTAAAATAAATGTCTATATTTCTTAATTTTGTGTTACATTTTCATCAGCTTTACTGTTTATTTTAATTAGAAAATAGGATTATGTGAGCTTTGAAATTCCAACTTTTTTCAGTCATGTTGATTTGTGTCATATATAAAAATATTTCTAAAAGCACTTATTTCCATCAAGGTAATCACTGGCCAGAACACTGGAATGGACAGTTTGTGAGTTGTACTTAAATGTAAATATTTTTCAGTATTGCTTTAAAATAAAAAAGGTTGTTAAATTAAAATGACATTCAGGAAAAAATGACATTCAAAATTGCTGAAACTAGATAATGGGTATATGGGAGCTTATAATCTCTACTTTTGTTTATGTTTTAAATTTCCATAATAAAAAGTTTAAAAAATTTTAAAAATCTTCAAGTTCCTTAAGGTCCAGATTAGGGTATGAAAAGTGTTCGTTGTAAAAATAGCATTGCAAAGTTAATAGACTATGCTGTGGTAAGTAATTTTTAAAAACTGGTTTAACAAACAAATAAAAATTAATTTTGATAATGTCTGATTTACCCATTTCTTTTTGAGTAATATTAGTAGTGGGATGGTGAAATGAGTTAGTGGTGTACTTAAATGGGAATTAAACTGTTTTTTTTATATACTTTGGAATAGGTATTTTTTAATTTCTAAAGTATTTTCTAAGTAGTGACTACATTAGTAGTGGGTCAGAAAATTTTACTTATTAGTAATTTAAGGGCTTGAAATTATTGTTTTATTTTTTTTTAACCTTGACCAGGATTGAACTCGCAACTCTTTGGTCTGCAGGCCGATGCTCTACCACTGAGCCAAACCAGCCAGGGCAAGGGCAAGATTATTTTTAATTTAACGTTTGATCATGTTGCTTGTATCATCAGTCTAACATTTATTGAGTATTGTTAATTCACTTGAACTTTTAAATTTATGATGAAATCAAACTAGAGAGCTTAGTCTTAATTTTAAAACTAGATTTTTAGCCCTGGCCAGCTTGGCTCAGTGGTTAGAGCATCGGCCTGTGGTCCAGAGAGACCTGGGTTCTGTTCCTGCTAAGGGCACGTACCTCGGTTGTAGTTTGTCCCCGGCCCTGGTTGGTCGTGCGGGTAGCAGCCACTCGATGTGTCCCTTTCACGTCGATGTTTCTCTTTCTCTCTCTCCCTCCCACTCTATCTGAACAAAAAATGGAAAAAAAATGTGCTCGGGTGAGGATAAAAAAAAACACTAGATTTTTAATCTTGCCATATAATTTATAGAGATTAACTCACAAAAATAAAATATATAAGATCTTTTGATTTGTGAATATTTTAGAGCAAAAAAGGTCTGAAATTTATGTCTTCCATATTGCCATTTGTTTTTGTTTTTTCTCTTCTTTTATTGATTTTAGAGAGAGCTGAAGGGAGAGGGGGAGAGAGAAACATCGATGAGAGAGAACATCGACTGGCCGCCTCCTGCACACTCCCCACTGGGGATTGGGCCCACAACCTGGGCATGTGCCCTAACCAGGAATCGAACCGGTGACCTCTTGGTATATAGGTCAGTGCTCAACCACTGAGCCTTACCGGCTGGGTCCATTTTGCCTTTTGTGAGATCATGTTGAATATTAAAGGAATACAAGTTTTAACTTTCTTCTATATTAAGGAAAGTCTTTGGGGAAAATAATATACATTTATTTTTTTTTTACTCCTCACCTGAGGACATTTTTTTATTTATTTTCAGATAGAGAGAGAGAGAGAAACAGAAACATTGATGTGAGAGATACATATTGGGTTGGTTTCTTCCTGCACAACCCTAACCAGGGCAGAGGACTGAACTACAACTGAGGTATGTGCCCTTGACCGGAATCGAACCCACGAGACTCATCGGTCTGCGGGCTGATGCTCTAACTGCTGAGCCAGACCAGCCAGGGCAAAAAATATATAAATTTTAATCTAAATGTTACTTTTATTTATTTATTTTTTTTAAATGTTACTTTTAATTTTTTTATTGCAACATAAGAAATTAAAGAAACTTGGTATTTCCTCCGTTATCAACACTTAATTATAGTTTTCACTTCCTTTTAGTAATGGTACTTCAATTAAAAATAACATTCAGAAGCCCTGGCCAGTTTGGCTCAGCAGTTAGAATGTTGGCTCATGGACTGAAGGGTCTTGGGTTCGATTCCTGGTCAAGGTCACCTACCTGGTTTGCAGGTTCTATCCTGGCCCTGGTCAGGGTCATGTGGGAGGCAGCCAGTTGATGTGTCTCTCTCACATCCATGTTTCTCTCCCTCCCTCTCTTCTACTCTATCTAAAGATCAATGGAAAAATGTCCTCAGATGAGGATTAACAACAACAACAAAAAATTAGCATTCAGGAAAAAAATGACATTTAGAAATTGTTGAAGCTAGATGATACATATGTGGAGACTCATTATATTGTCTCTGAAAACTCTCATAATACAAAGTTTTGAAACCTTTTATTTTTTTTAAAGCTTTTATTTATTTATTTATTTAATCCTCACTCGAGGACATTTTTTCGTTTTTTGTTCAAATAGAGTGGGAGGGAGAGAGAGGAAGAGAAAGATAGAGAGAAACATTGATGTGAAAGGGACACATCGAGTGGTTGCCACCTGCACGACCCAACCAGGGCCAGGGACAAACCGCAACCAAGGTACAAACCGCAACCTTAGCGGGAACCAAATCGGGGTCTCTCTGGACCGCAGGCTGACGCTATAACCGCTGAGCCAAACCGGCCAGGGCTATTTATTTATTTATTTATTTATTTATTTTTAAAGTTCTTTTTTCCCCCCTTTAATGATTTTAGAGCAGTGGTTCTCAACCTTCCTAATGCTGTGACCCTTTAATACAGGTCTTCATGTTGTATGTGGGCTGACCCGCCTGGAGACAGACAGAGGAGCCATGTCTTGGTTCCTAAGACCATAAGAAATGTGTGTTTTCCGATGGTCTTAGGTGACCCTGTGAAAAGGTCTTTCGACCTCCAAAGGGGTCGTGATCCACAGGTTGAGAATTGCTGTTTTAGAGAGGGGAAGTGAGAGGGAGAGAAAGAGATAGAAACATCGACGAGAGAGAACATCGACTGGCTGCCTCTTGCATGCTCCCCACTGGGGATCAGGCCCACAATCTGGGCAGGTGTCCTGACCGGGAATCAAACTGACGACCTCTTGGTGCGTGGGTCGATGCTCAATCACTGAGCCACACCGGCCGGGCTATTGGTTGATTCTTATGTGTGCCCTGGCTGGGATGGACCCTGCACTTTGGTGAATCCGGGGGATGCTCTGACCAACGGAGGTACATGGCCAGGGCTTTGAAATCTTTTTGACCAAGATGTAGAGTAAGAAATACATTTAACATTTCAGCTTAGCACAACCATGCATATTTATGCACAGAAAACTGAGATCAAGTTTCACGTAAAACAGCATTTACCTTTATGCTGTGGTATTACCCTGACATTTTTTCATTATATTAAAAAATTGTTGCCCTGGCTGGTGTGGCTTAGTGGTCATGGACATGTATTTGGGTTGCAGATTTGATCCCCAGCCTCGTCGGCACAGGCGTGGGAGGCAACCAATGGATGTCTCTCTCTCACATCAATGTTTCTCTCTTTCCCTCTCTAAAAATCAATGGAAAAATGCCCTTGAGTGAGGATTAACCAAAAAAAAATTGTTCAAGACTCACTAATAGATCACTACTTTCTGTTTGAAAAACAGAACTCTAGGAGGTAGATGGTTTCATAGTTCTGATTATATTAAAACTGTTTATTCATTAGGATGTTTTTGTTATTCAAGCCATATTGCCTGTATCTGTTGTTCTTTAATACATTTTTTAAAAGTTGTTTTTGCCTGGCTGGTGTGGCTCAGTGGTTGAGTGTTAATCCGTGTACTAAGAGGTTGCCAGTTCGATTTCCTGTCAGTGCACATGCCCAGGTTGTGGGCCCGATATCCCCAGTGTGGGGCATGCAGGAGGTAGCCAGTTGATGTTCTCTGTCTTTGATGTTTCTAGCTCTCCTTACTTCTCCCTTCCTCTCTCTCTAAAATCAATAAAGAAAAAAATATATTTTTTAAAGTATTTTTTATCAAATTAGCTTATTTGTTGTTTTTTAGTGGGTTAGTTGGTTGCTAAATGTTGCCACTTCCTGAAAATGAGTTATCTCCTCCTTTCTTTCTGCTATATGGCCAAAGTCAAGTCTTAGTCATCTCCTGTTTGGATTTGTGTAATTTTTCTCTTCATATTTTATTCCCCCAAATTCAGTTTTGAAAGTCACAGCTAAGGTTATCTTTAATTTCTGCTCCTTTTCATCTGTAACCTGCTTCCCCATTGGTCTTTCTCATTGTGCTCTACCTGTTTTATATCCCTCACTCTGTACATTAATATCAAGTTCATTATCTTTAATTTTATTCATCTCTTTTGAGTCCCAGCATAAAATCTTTCCCTCCACCCATTTGTCTGAACTGCCTCTGCCATTCACATATTGTTTCATAGTCTTTTTTTCTTTTTCTTTTTTTTTTATCCTCACCCGAGGACATTTTTCCATTTTTTGTTCAGGTAGAGTGGGAGGGAGAGAGAGGAACAGAGAGAGAGAGAAACATCGATGTGAAAGGAACACATCGAGTGGCTGCCACCCGCACGACCAACCAGGGCCGGGGACAAACTGCAACCGAGGTACGTGCCCTTAGCGGGAACCGAACCTGGGTCTCTCCAGACCGCAGGCCGACGCTCTAACCGCTGAGCCAAACCGGCCAGGGCTCATAGTCTTTTCTTTTTTGTGAGGCAATTTAGAAACATCATTTTGTGGTAAGATTGAGCTTTAGATCTGGACTCTAGAATCAGGACTATTGGCTGGTGTGTGACATTGATAAAAAGGCACAGAATAGTTTCTGGTGAAGTCAATCCTTTCGTTTTATGAGAGGAAACAGGTTCAAATTGACTTGCCCAAGGTCATTTAACCAAGTTAGTTTCAATTAGAAATCCAGGACCTCTGACTCCTCCTAGTCTTCTGTTCTTCTCCAGTAAATTGCTTAATTTCTGCTTGAAAAATCTTTTTTTTTTTTTTTTTGAATCCTCACCTGAGGATATTTTTGCATTTATTCTCAGATAGAGGAGGAGGGAGAGAGAGAGAGAGAGAGAAACATCGACATGACAGAGACACATCGAGCCCTGGCCAGTTTGGCTCAGCGGTTGGAGCATCAGCCTGTGGACCAGAGAGTCCCAGTTTTGGTTCCCAATAGGGGTATGTACCAAAAAAAACAAAAACAAAACAGAGACACATCGAGTGGCCACCACCCACACAACCCCAACCAGGGCCGGGGACAAACTGCAACCGAGGCATGTGCCCTTAGCGGAAACCAAACTCGGGCCTCTCTGGTCCATGGGCCGACGCTCCAACTGGCAAGCCAAAGTGTCCAGGACTCTGCATGAAAAATCTTAAAAGCTCTACCTCCTTCCTCCCCCCACACTATAATTTTAATCATTATTGTAACTGTTTCTTTTTTGTTTGCATTCTGTTAGGTAAATATTTAATTCAGTGTAATTGAGTACCTGTTATGTGCAGGGTGTTTTATACACTTTACTCCAAGTCTCGTGATAACCTGAAGAGGTAGGTATTTCTGTTTTATATCCGAGGAAACATAAGCACATAGAGAATTGAACATTTGAAAAATAGAAGAGTTGATATTTGAACCCTGTTTTTTTTGACTTGGGCTCTTCCTACTATGTAACTTGCTTCACCACTAATCCCAGAAAGAGAGTAGTATAGAAATATTCAATTTTTCCTTTGGTGAAACTAATACTCATGGCAAACACATGGTATCCAACATATGTGAGTCAAGGTTTACAAGTTACAAGTGTATTACTGTGACTAGATTTTCTGCTTTTGGCTCAGAATGGCTGCTTGGGGGATGTCTCTTACTCCTTGCCTGCTCAAGAGAGATAGATAGATAGATAGATTGATTGATTGATTGATTGATTGATTTAGTGGTACATTCCCCTTGCGGGAACCGAACCCAGGACTCTCTGGTCCGCAGGCCAAAACTCAACCACTGAGCCAAACTGGCCAGGGCTATTTATTTATTTATTTATCCTCACCCGAGGATATTTTTCTCTATCTTCAGACAGAGCGGGAGAGAGAGAGAGGGAGAGAAAGGGGGAGATAGAGAAACATTGATGTGAGAGGAACACGTCGACTGGTTGCTTCCCCCACGGCCCCGACCAGGGCCCCGGGACAAACTGCAACTGATGTACGTGCCCTTGGCCAGAATCAAACACACGAGTCATTGGTCTGTGGGCTGACACTACTGCTGAGCCAAGCCATTCAGGGCATCAAGAGATTTTTAAATGGTAGCAGTGAGGAGCCCTGGCCAGGTAGCTCAGTTGGTTAGAGCATCGTCCCGAAATGTGAAGGTTTGATCCATGGTCAGGGCACACACACACAGAGAGAGAGAGAGAGAGAGAGAGAGAGAGAGAGAGAGATCGATCCTGTGTGTGTGTTTCTGTGTGTGTCCCTAATTCTTTTCTCTCTCAAATCAGAAAAAAAATTTTTTAATGGTATTATCAGTGATACAGCCAAGCCAGTAGAGTGTCTGCACAGCTAACAGTAGAGCCCAATTTGTGCTCTTTTGGGCCTCTACTCGCTGCTTCCATGTGGACTTGGAGGTCAAGAGGCCCTGTAGTTTGAGGTTTTAAGTACTGAGTATTTGGCTTTCTCTTTGGCGACTCCCTCCCTTGTTGTACTGGTTACAGTTTGATTTGTGACCTTCACAGGCTCTTTATTCTGCACTTCACATTATTTAAAATATAAAGCATTTTTATTTATTTTATTTTATTTTATTGAATAATTTTTGTTACAAATGATTCTCCTTTTCTCCCCCTATAAAGCATTTTTAGATTTGTCATTAAAACTGCCCTGAACCTAAAGAATGAGGGGAAAGGTCAGAATTTTAAAAAAAAAGTTAAATTACTAGTTAGGGCAGTTTTTGTTTGTTTGTTTGTTTGTTTAACATTTTGCTTTTACATGTTCCAAAAGATATGAGTACTACTTATTTCTTTGATTGAATTTAAAACCCAAGTAAAACTGCTCTACCTTCTATATCCACTAACATGGACACGCATTTTTTTTCCTTGCTATTTGATCAATTTGCTACCTGCCACTTATTTATTTATTTATTTATTTTTGTGGTACGTGCCCCTAGTGGGAACCGAACCCGGGGCTCTCTGGTCCACTGGCCGACGCTCAACCGCTGAGCCAAACTAGCCAGGGCATCTGCCACTTATCTTTATCTCCCAAGATCAGTACTGCCTGTTGGGCTTCTCTTTGTCTAATACCTATTTCTTTTTACACACACTCAGTTGTTTCTGAGCTTTTTTCAGAACTCTTCTTTTCAGAGGGAAGCCAAAAAGGTTCTTTTTGTTCTGTTACCTAGTAGATGTTGGCTGATCATTATTTTGAAACTTTCGTTGACTTTTATCATCTGATCACTATCCGAAAAAAAATAGTAATACTTTAAATTTTCTAGTTTAAACATTTGCAAATAGTTATATTTGGTTGGGAAAGGAAAAGAGATCCAAACACTGGCTTCACATGGCTGTTTAAAAGTAAGGAAGGACTTTTCCAGAAGCCTACAGCAAACTTCTCATTTCATTGACCAAAATTGGGTTACTTTCCCTTTCCTAAATTAGTCTGTGGTAAAAACTGATGGAATTATTCTTAGCCAGCCAGGCCCATCCCTTGGCCCAAGGATATGGTTGGCTTCCCCTGAAGCACATGACTGCATGGGAGAGGAGTGGTCATAAGGAAGAAAATCTGTTGGGAGGAAGGAGAAAATAGATGCACTTACTGTTCATAGTATGCTAGCATTTGAGGACCTGTAAAATATAAACATGACTTTTACTATGCAATTACTTTTTCTGGCATTGGCTTTTTCTCTTTCGTTGTCAAAGTTCTTGGGGGTGGACATGGTGGGAGTTTATGAAGTGCAGAGAATGAAGTATGGCTAGTAGATTTCTGTGTTCCTTGTGTGGTTCTTATGGAATCATATGGTCAAGCAGATATACACAAACATAAAGATAGAGTCATCTAGTTAAACCAATTAATAACTTTTCAAAATAGAGATAGTGTTTTATTTTACTCTTTGTCGTTAAGGCTACTCTGAAAGGAACTAGTGTTTGTTAAAAGGTAAAATAGAAAGTTATGCACTGGGAAGAGAAAGTAGAAACCAAACAAGAACATTGTATAAAATCTTAAAAGGGAAGGGATCTCAATACCATTAGCTGAGTGAATATAGTAAGCCAAACAGTCTTTTTTTTTTTTAAATGAGAAAACACAATATTTGCAATTCATATATCTAATATATAACATGCAACTCAATAATAAAAACATTTCAGTCATTTAATAAAAATTATTGTGTCACTTATTGGAGTGAACATGTACAGAAAAGGCCCTCTGAGAGCATAAATGACAAAGCTTAACTGTTAGAGGTCAGAGAAGTTACAGTTGAACTAAATCCAATATGATGAGTTTCTTAGGTAGATAAGGGAGGAAGTACATTTCTGGTCCGTTGATGACCACACCCAAAGACACAAGTTAGGAAGCACTATTCTTTAATTTCGAAAGGTTGAAGATTAAGCTATAGTATCTAGAGGTGGCTGGAGATGGAGAGCCTATTATGCTATAGTGAGGAGTTTGGATTTTATTCTTTTTTTTTTTTTTTTTTATCCTCACCCGAGGACATTTTTCCATTTTTTGTACAGATAGAGTGGGAGGGAGAGAGAGGAAGGGAGAGAGAGAGAGAAACATCGACGTGAAGGGACACATCGAGTGGCTGCCATCCGCACGACCAACCAGGGCCGGGGACAAACTGCAACCGAAGTACATGCCCTTAGCGGGAACCGAACCCGGGCCTCTCCGGACCACAGGCCGACGCTCTAACCGCTGAGCCAAACTGGCCAGGGCAGGAGGAGTTTGGATTTTAGATTGAAGATAGTAGGGAACCATTGAAGGATTCCAACCTGACAAGAAGGTCAGATTTGTCTTAGATCACTCTGCTACACTCTGGATAATGGATTGAGTAAGGCAGGAATGGAGGTGGGAGCAAATGTTATCTGAGAAATGATAAGGGCAGAGTAGAAGAGGTGGCAAGATGGGAATAAAGGTGAGACAGGTTTAGGAAAAAGAAATCAATAGGACCTGGTATCCAGTGAGGAGAGGAAGGAGGCTAGGATTATTTCTATTTTTCTAGTTTGGGTCAGTTGTGGTAGGTGGAGAAGCAAGTTTGGAGGTGGGGAGAGGGAGAAGATGATTCAATTTAATGAAGTGTGCCAGGCACTATGCAAAGTCTATAAGGGTTATATATCATTTTACCAGAATGATAAAGTGTGGAGAAGAGACTAGACAAAATAAAAGGGGAGTATTGACTTCTGGGGAGTGTAAATTGTGGCAAGGTGCCTAGGAAATGTTTAATAAATAAGGGTTATTAGTAAGATTGTTATGCAGATAAGAGTAGTTCTCCTTTTTCTGGTACTAGAGAAGGAACACCTTTATAAATGAAAGTTTATATCCCATTTACAAAGAGAAATTTATGCCCTGCTTTTACAGGCTGAAAGGGAGAGGGCCTAGAGTTCTTCTTGTATCTGCTGTTTTTCATTTGCCTTTAGCCCAAATAATCTGTGCTGATGTAGCATATTTTGACATGGCATATTCTGATACGTTTTGACACATGCATATCTATGAAATTGTCGCTACATTCAAGATAGTGAACATATTTAACACCCCCAAAATTTCCTTGTAATCATTCCTTCCTACCCACCTTTCCCCTTTACCCAGATAACTACTGAGTCACTATAGAAAACATAAATGGAGTCATGAAGTATATACTCTTTTTTGTTTGGCTTCTTTCATTTGATGTTATTATTTTGAGATTTATCCATTTTACTAAGCATATTAGTAGGTGGTCATTATTATTTTTTAATCCTCACCCAAGAATATTTTTTCCATTTATCTTTAGGTAGAGTGGAAGGGAGGGAGGGAGGGAGGGTGAGAGAGAAAGAAAAAAATATCAACCTGAGAGAGACACATCAACTGGCTGCCTCCTGCATGACCCTGACCAGAGCAGGGGACTGAGCCACAACTGAGGTATGTGCCCTTGACCTGAACTGAACCTGAGACTCTTTGGTCCATGGAGTGGGAGGGGGGAAGGGAGAGAGAAACATCTATGTGAGAGAGACACGTCTATTGATTGCCTCCTGCATGACCCTGATGGAGGGGGGTCAAATCTGCAATCAAGGTATGTGCCCTAGATCAGGAATCGAACCCGAGATTTTGGTCAGTATGCTGACCCTCTAACTGTGGCCAGGGATGTTATTCATTTTTTATTGCAGAGTCATTTCCATTGTATGCATGTACTGCAATTTGTTGATCTGTTCACCTCTTGATGGACTTTTAGACTGTTTCCAGGTATGAGCTGTTACAAATAAAGCTGCTATGAGCATTCATGTATTAAGTCTGTGTGTGGATACATTTCCTTTACTTGGATCATAGGTATAAGTTTAACTTTTTGAGAAGCTGCCAAACTTTGCTGAGGTGGGTGAATCATTTCAAATTTCTGCCAGCAGTGGAAATGAACATTTCTACATCCTCACCATTTGGTATGATCAGTCCTTTTAGTTTTAGGCATTCTAATAGTTGTGTAGTAGTATCTCTTTACAGTTTTATTTTATATTTCCCTAACAACTAATGCTGCTGAACATCTTTTTATGTGCTTATTTTGCGATCTATATATCTTTTTTGGTGATATATTTCAAGTTTTGCTTATTTAAAACATTTTATTTTGAAATATTGTTTCACAGAAAGTTACAAAAATATATATAAAACGGGAGGTTCTAGGTATCCTTCACTCAGTTTTCTCCAGTATCTTGTATAACTAGAATAATATCAAGATCAGGCAAATGATATTGCTACAGTCCACCAAACTTATTCGTATGTTATCAATTTTACATGCACTCATTTGTGTTTGTGTTTGTAGTTCTATGCAATTTTATCACATTTGTTGATTTGTATAACCATCACCACAGTCAAGATACAGAACTGTTCCATTACCACAAAGTTCCATCTCATTAGCCTCTTTATGGTCATACCCACTTCCCTTCCTTCTCCCCTCCCCAGTCTCTAATTCCTGGCAACAACTAATCTGTTCTCTATCACCATAATTATATTTCGAGAAAATGTTATATAAATTGAGTCATATAGTATTTAACCTTTTAAGGTTGGGTTTTATCACTCAGTATAATTCCCTAGATATCCTTACAAGTTGCTGCATATATTGTTTGTTCCTTTTAATTAATGAGTAGTATTCCTTGATATTTGTCTAACCTTTACCAATTGAAGGACATTTGGGGTTTTTTTGCCAGTTATTGGCTAGCATGAATAAAGTTACTATGAATATTTGTGTACAGGTTTTTGTGTGAATATAAGTTTTTATTTCTTTGGTTATAAATTCCCAATAGTAGTTGCCTGCCAACCTCCACTATGGGAGTTTAGTTTTAAAAGAAATTGCCCAACTTTTACCTTACCACCAGCAGTGCATAGGTTGTCCAGTTTCTCTGCATCTTGGGCAGCATTTAGTGGTATTGTTATTTCTCCTTTTTCTTTCTTTTCTTTCTTTTGTTTTTGTTTTGTTTTTTTATCCTCACCCGAGGACATTTTTTGATATTTTGTTCAGATAGAGTGAGAGGGAGAGAGAGAGAGAGAAACATCGACGTGAAAGCGACACATCGAGTGGTTGCCACCCACACGACCCAACCAGGGCCGGGGACAAACTGCAACCAAGGTACATGCCCTTAGCGGGAACCGAACCCGGGTCTCTCTGGACCGCAGGCCAACGCTCTAACCGCTGAGCCAAACCGGCCAGGGCTCTTTCTTTTCTTTATAGAGAGAGAAGAAGGGAGAGGGAGGGAGGGAGGGAGAGAGAGAAAAATATCAGTGAGAGAGACCATCGATTGGCCACCTCCTGCATGCCTGAACTGGGGATTTGGCCCACAACCTGGGTATATGCCCTAACCAGGAATCGAACCAGCGACCTCTTGGTGCATGGGTTGACGCTGAACCACTGAGCCATACCGGCCCGGCTTATTATTTCTTATTTTAGCCATTCTGAAAGGTGTTTAGTGGTACCTCATGTTTTTCAAAATATATTTTTATTGATCTCAGAGAGAGGAAGGAAGAGGGAAAAAGAGAGAAACATCGATGAGAGAGAAACATTGATTGGCTGCCTCCCGCACACCCCTTACTGGGGATCAAGGCTGCAACCCAGGCATGTGCCCTGACTGGGAATCGAACCAGCGACCTCCTGGTGCATGGGATGATGCTCAACCAACTGAGCTATACTGGCCATGCACATTATGGTTTTAATTTATTTTCCTAGTGACTAATACTATTAAGCATCTTTTTTATCATCACTGTATCATTTTTAGTCAAGTGTCCATTGAAGTCTCTGCCTCTTTTTTTTAAAAGTGTTTTTATTGATTTTTTTTTTAGAGAGTGAGAAAGGGAGAGAGAGATAGAAACATTGATGTGAGGGAGATAAACATTGATAATCTGCCTCCTGCTTGCCCCCTACTGGGGGATCAAAACCATAACCCGGGGCATATGCCCTGACTGGGCATCAAATGGAACCTCTCAGTCCATGGGATAATACTCAATCCATTGAGCCACACTGGCTGTGTAAGTCTGCCTTTTTTTTTTTTTTCATCCTCACTTGAGAACATTCTTCCTTTTTTTTGTTCAGATAGAGTGGGAGGGAGAGAGAGGAAGAGAGAGCGAGAGAAACATCAATGGGAAAGGGACACATCGAGTGGCTGCCACCCGCACGACCAACCAGGGCTGGGGACAAACTGCAACCGAGGTATGCGCCCTAAGCGGGAACCGAACCCAGGTCTCTCTAGACCATAGGCCGATGCTCCAACCGCTGAGCCAAACTGGCCAGGGCAAGTCTGCCTTTTTTAAAATTGGATTTTCTTCTTCTCACCCAGCTGGTGTGGTTCGGTGTGGTTCAGTGGTTGAGCATTGACCTGTGCACCAAGAGGTCGCCGGTTTGATTCCTGGTCAGGGCACATGCCCAAGTTATGGGCCAAATCCCCAGTGAGGGGCATGCAGGAGGTGGCTAATCAATGTAGTCTCTCATTAATGTTTCTATCTCTCCCTCTCCCTTCCTTTCTCTCAAAAATCAATAAAGAAGAAAAAAAATTAAAAACTAATCATAATAAAATTGGATTTTCTTATGTAAAGTGTTGAGAGTTCTTTACATTTTTAGATTTGCCTTTTTATCAGATACATGCTTTGCAAAGAGTTTTCCCCAATCTGTGGCTTGTCTTTTCATTAATAGTGTCTTTTGTAGAAGTTTTTAGTTTTAATTTATCAGTTTGTTATTTTATGGATTATGCTTTTGATGTTATATGTAAGAAATCTTTGCCTAAAGTAAGTTTGCAAAAATTTTCTTCTAGTATCTTTGGGGAGGTTTTATAGTTTTTGATTTTGCATTTAGGTCTATAATCTATTTTGATTTAATTTTGTTTTTTAAATACTCTCCTGAGGATATGTTTCTATTGATTTTCAGAGAGAGAGTAAGGGAGAGAGAAACATCGATGTGAGAGAAACATTGATTGGTTACCTCCTGTAAGCCCCTTGACCAGGTATTGAACCTGCAACCCAGGTATATACCCTGACTAGGAATCAAAGTGCAACCTTTTCAGTATATGGGACTATTACTAGAAAGGGGACTTGACCCTTGGCAGGTCTGCCTAGGGCCTGCTGGTAATGTGTGGGTTCTTGACTTTAAGCACGAAAAATTTTGCAACAAGTCCAAGTGAATTTGAGAGGATGTTTATTAAAACTGGGGACAATAAAACAAGGAAGGGCTCGGGAAATGAGCCTAGGCTGGGCTTCTTTGGCTCACTAAGCAGTCAGAGAAAAGGGGACCTTGGGGACAGCTTCAGGGGGGTTGAACTGGCACTGCCCATTGCTGCCTTGGTTGCATGCCTGTGGGGAAAGAAGAGTGGGGAGGCTCAGGCATGCTCCTGGGAGGGAGAGCTCAAGATAGACCTTTATTTTGAGGGGTTTGTTTTTTTTTAAAATCCTCACCTGAGGACATTTTTCCATTTTTTTGTTCAGATAGAGTAGGAGGGAGAGAGAGAGAAACATCAACGTGAAAGGGACACATTGAGTGGCTGCCACCCACACGAACCAACCAGGGTGGCTGCCACCCACACAAACCAACCAGGGCTGGGGAAAAACCGCAACCACGCTACATGCCCTTAGTGGGAACTGAACCCGGTTCTCGCAGGCTGACGCTCTAACCGCCGAGCCAAACTAGCCAGGGCCATTTTGAGGGGTTTTAAAGGCTGAGTGTTTAGGGGAGTTCTTAGGGGGAGGATCTCAATAGAATATTCGTCAGCCTTATACTGATGTATGAAAATAAGGTTTATTATCTTTTATAATTTTTTTTTTTTTGGAGGCAGAGGAAGGGTGAGGGTGAGATAGAAATATCATCAGTTGTCTGCTTTCTGTATAGCCTCTGCTGGGGATCTAGCTCATAACCTGAATCAGTGACCTCTTGGTGCATAGGTCGATGCACTGAGCTTCACTGGCTGGGCGAGGTTTATTATCTTATTTTTTTTGTTTATTCATTTTAGACAGAGAGGAAGGGAGAGGGAGAGAGAGAGATAGAAACATCCATGAGAGAGAACATAGATTGGCCACCTCCTGCATGTCCCCCACTGGGGATTTGGCCCACAACCTGGGCATGTGCCCTGACTGGGAATTGAACCGGCGACCTCTTGGTGATGGGTCAGTGCTCAAACACTGAGCCATACCAGCCGGGTGAGGTTTATTCTCTTAACTTCATCTGTCCTTGAGTGTGGTTGACAAATGGCAGTAATTGGATTTCTGCTGTCTCTGGTTGGGGAGAAGTGTAAATAAACCATTTACTCCTAAGGGTCCCTGGTTTAGGGAAGATAGGTTTTACTAAATGGCTGCACATACTTGGCATCTAGATTTTCAAGATGACTGCAGATTGTTTAACTGTCTCTTAGTTTCCCTATTTCACTTGTCCTGGCGTACTACTAACTAGCCTGTTTCAGAAATTGAGCCTCCTAACCAGGGCTCAAGTTCATTGATGTTACATATGAATATCCAGTTCTTCTAGCCCTGTTTATTGAAAAGGCTATCCTTTCTCCACAGCATTGTCTTTACACCTTAGTCAAAAATTAGTTGACTATATATGAGTGAGTTTACTTTTGGACTCTGTTCTATTTTGAGCTCTGTATCTTTTACTGATACTTCAGTATCATGATTATTGTACCTTTATAGTAACTTTTAAATTCAGATAGTGTCACTTTTTTAACTGTGTTCTTTATCAGATTATTTTGGCTATTCTAAATCCTTTGGTCTTTTTATATAAATTTTAAATCAGTTTGCCAATTTTACAAAAATACTTACCTGAATTTTGATTAGGATTATGTGAAATCTATACACCAGTTTTGGGAGAACTGGTATCAGTATTGGGACTTCTAATCTATGAATAAAATTTCTCTATTAATTTACTTTATTATTTTAATTTTTTTTCTTTATTGATTTTAGAGAGAGAGGAAGGAAGAGGGAGAGAGAAACATCGATGAGAGAGAACATTGATTGGCTGCCTCCTGCATGACTGCTACTCAGCCACTGAGCCACACCAGCTGGGCCATTTACTTTATTACTTTATTATATACT